AAACTATGCATATGACAAAGGGTTAATATCCAGAATATATAAGGAATTCAAATAACAGCAAAAATCCCAAACAATCCAACTTTAAAATAGGCAAAAACCTGAATTCACATTTCTCAAAAAAAGACATTCAAATGGCCAACAGGTATATGAAAAAAATGCTTAACATCACTAGTTTTTAGGAAAATCCAAATCAAAACTAAAATGAAATATCACTTCATTCCATCTAAATGGCTGTAATAAAGACAAAAAACAACAAATGTTGGTAAGGATGTGGAGAAAGGGGAACTCTTATACACTGTTGGTAGAAATGTAAATTAATACAGCCATTATAGCAAACAGTAGGAAGGTTTCTCAAAAAACTAAAGCAGAACTACCACATGATCCAGCAATTCCACCACTATGTATATAGCCAGTGAAAATGAAATCACTATGTCAAGGAGATATCTACACTCCCCTATTTATTGCAGCACTACTCACAATAACCAAGAGATGAAATCCCCCTAAATGTTTACAGGTGAATGGGCAAAGAAACTGTGGTATATATACATAATGGAATAGTATTCAGTCATAAAACAGAATAAAATTCTGTCATTTGTGGCAACATGGATGAACCCAGGGACATTATACTAAGTGAAAGACACCAGGTATAGACAGACAACCACATGATCTTACTCATATGCAGAATCTAAAAAAGTTGATCTCTCACACCCGTAATCCCAGTGCTTTGAGAGGCTGAGGCAGGTGCATCACCTGAGGTCGGGAGTTTGAGACCAGCCTAGCTAATATGGTGAAACCCCATCTCTCCTAAAAATACAAAAAATAGTTGGGTGTGGTGGGCGCTTGTAATTCCAGCTACTCAGGAAGCTGAGGCATGAGAATCGCTTGAACCTGGGAGACGGAGGTTGCAGTGAGCCAAGATCACACCACTGCACTCCAGCTTGGGCGACAGAGTGAGACTCTGTCTCAAAAATAAATAAATAATGAAAATAAAAAAAAGTAGCCAGGTGCAGTGGCTCATGTCTGTAATCCCAGCATTTTGGGAGGCCAAGGCGGGCAGATCATGAGGTCAGGAGATCCAGACCATCCTGGCTAACATGGTGAAACCCCTTCTCTACTAAAAATACAAAAAATTAGCCATGCATGGTGGCAGGTGCCTGTAGTCCCAGCTACTCGGAGGCTGAGGCAGGAGAATGGGATGAACCCGGGAAGTGGAGCTTGCAGTAAGCTGAGATCGCACCACTGCACTCCAGCCTGGCGACAGAGCGAGGCTCCGTCTCAAAAAAAAAAGAAAATAAAAAAGTTGATCTCATAGAAGGAGAGAGTAGAATAGTGATTACCAGAGGTTGGGGAGGGGATCAGGGGGAGGGGATCAGGAAGAGGGTAATGGGGAGTGGTTGGTCAATGAGTACAAAGTTAGAAAGGAAGAAGAATAAGTTCTGGTGTTCTAAATACAACAGGGCAACTATACCTAATAACAATGTAATGTATATTTCAAGTTAGCTAGAAGATAGGGTTTTGTGTTATCACCATAAAGAAATGATACACATTTAAAGTGATGGATGTGCTAATTGCCTGATCTGATCATTACGCAACGTATACGTGTATTGAAACATCACACTGTACCTCACAAATATTTACGTTATGTATAAATTGTAATAAAATAAGACAATTTTTTTTAATAAACAAGAAAGAATACTCTGGTAAACTCAGAAAGAGAAGAACAATGAGGGTAGTGGTAGACTAACACTACCACAGGGTAGAATCTATTCTTTTTTTTTTTTTTTGAGACGGAGTCTCGCTCTGTCACCCAGGCTGGAGTGCAGTGGTGTGATCTTGCCTCACTGCAAGCTCCGCCTCCCGGGTTCACGCCATTCTCCTGCCTCAGCCTCCTGAGTAGCTGGTACTACAGGCGTCCGCCACCACACCTGGCTAATTTTTTTGTATTTTTAGTAGAGACAGGGTTTCACCGTGTTAGCCAGGATGGTCTCGATCTCCTGACCTCGTGATCCACCTGCCTCGACCTCCCAAAGTGCTGGGGTTACAGGCGTGAGCCACCGCGCCCGGCTGGGTAGAATCTATTCTAAGCTTTGGTGTAAGGAAAAGGGACCCCTTAAACAGGTGAGGCAAAGATAAACTAACAAGCATTACGGGAACAACTGGACAGACATCTGGAAAAAACACAATCAGATCCAGACCTCATATGAAGATGACTCCAAAAGGAACAAAGATTTAAATATGAAAAAATAAAACCACAGAAGTTCTAGAAGAAACCATGGAAGAAATTCTTTATAATTTTGAATTGAAGAATGTGTTTCTAGTTATTATTTATAACCTAGATACCATAAAAGGAAAACTGGCAAGTATATCTGCCTGCATGGCCCCAAACAAAATCAGCAAAGACAAAAGAGAATGAAGCACTGGGAAACAAACACTTATAGTTCAGATCAGTCAAAGGGCTATTCTTGCTAAAATACAAAGAACTCTCGAAATTGGTAAGAGAAAAAGAGAAATGAGCAAAGAATATGAACAGATGGTTCATGAAAAAGGAAATAAAAATATTTAAGCATATGAGAAAAATGAGATATAATTTTCAGCAAAAAATCCAAACATTTGATAACATGTTGGTGAGAGTGTGGGAAAAGGTAAACTCTCAGCTATTACTGGTGGGAGTATAAATTAGCTCATCTGTGAGAGAAAATAGTCTATCAAAAATTTAAATGTATATACTCTTTGTACAAGTGCCCTTCTGGGAATGTATCCCACAGATATATTTGCTTATGTACAAAATGATACATGCATAAAGTTATTCACCGTACTATTGCTGATAACAGCAAAAGTCTGAAAACAACCCAAGTTAGAATATTGGTTAAATTACGGTGCAACTCTACAATGGAATGCTACGCAGCAATGAAAAAAATGAGAAAGTTCTCTGCATATTCAAATAGAGTTCCAAATTATACTGAGTGAAAAAGATACATAAGGTATAGGACAGTGGCATACTATGCTTTATTTTGTATGCATAAAGACCCCTAGGAGGACACCTTCCAAGAAACAACACTGCTTTCCTTGGGTGGGGTAAGGGAGAGGAACGAGGTAGACTGACAGCAGGGACGGGTACTTCCCTGTATCCCTTTTACAGGTTGAGTACCCCTTCTCCAAAATGCTTGGGACCAGAAGTGTTTTGGATTTTGAATGTTTTTGGATTTTGGAATATTTGCATATGCATGAGGAGATATGTGGGGGATAGGATCTGTGTCAAAATACAAAATTTATGTTGGATATATACCTTATACACACAGCCTGAAGGTAATTTCATATAGTGTTTTAAATAATTTTGAGAATGAAATCAAGTTTTGACTGTGTTTCAACTCAACCTGTCACATGAGGTCAGGTGTAGAATTTACACTTCTGGTGTCACGGTGCTCAAAAAGTTTTCGATTTTGGAGTATCCTGAATTTCTGATACTTGGCTTAGGGATGCTCAATCTGTATATGTATATATTTGTACCCTTTCTACTATATGAATATATTATCTATATAAAACATCAAACTTAAAAACATGCAATAAAAGAGAAAAAAGGAAACACTATTCAGCTGTTAAAAAGAAGGCCAGGCACGGTAGCTCACACCTGTAATACCAGCGTTTTAGGAGGTCGAGATGGGCAAACAGCTTGAGCCCAGGGGTTTGAGATTAACCTGGGCAACACGGCAAAACCCTGGCTCTTAAAAAAAAATAAAATAAGTCAGCACTAGATTTACTGATATGCAATGATATCCCAAAGATATTTTTAAAAGAAAAAGCAAAGTGAGAAAGTGAGTACAGTATACTCCCATTCATCTGCTTTACAAAAAGACGTATATACATCATCCCTGGAAATACACACCAAACTGGGGTAAATGACTGCTTCTGGGGAAAGGAAATAGGAGACTCAAACATGCACCTGACATTGGATGTCCTTTGCTACTGTTTAAATATTATTTTTATTAAATGACGCTGTATTTGTAAAATGAATTTCAAATGTTTATCCCCAGCCAGATCTTACCTACGAGCTGTAGATTTCCAACTGCTACACCTGGATTTCTCACAGGCACCGTCAACTCAGTAAGTACAAACCTAAACTCATCATCTTCTACACAAAACCTGGTTCTCCCTCCAGTGTTCCTTGTCATTGTTCACATGGCCGCCCTTCAGCTGCTCAAGTCAAAAGTGTGTGTGTGTGCTGTTCTCAACTCCCCGTCTGCCTTCCTCTAACACCCAACCAGTCACCAAGTCCCGTAGATCTCTCTCTCCATTACATCCACCTCTGATCATCTTCACTGGCAGTGCCCTAAAGCAAGCAATCATCTCTCAGCAGCCTTTTCACTTTTGGGAAGTCACACAATGAAATGGATTAGAAAGGGGCCAGGACTCTCATTATAGTCCACATGATTTTCTAGTCCCTTCTCATGTCATTTTCCTGTCTCACTCTTTACATTCCAACCACACTAACCTTCATTTAGTTCCTCAAACTCTTCGTCCTCAAGGCCTCACTTGCTAGGCCCACATCTTTCCCGATAACAGCACCACTAAGCTTTTACTGCATTAACTACCTCATATCCTTTTAGTCTCAGTCTAAACACACTGTTTTCGGAATATCTCTGTGACCTTCCAGACTAAGTCAGACCCCTGGTTTTATGCTGGTTTAGCAACCCTCCTTCAAACAATTTACTGCAACAATAACTGAACTATAAAATTAGTTGTTTAATATTTATCCCTCAAACAGCCTAAGGACAAGAACAGTTTTGCTCACCGCTGTATCCTAAAATGATACCCACAGAATAAACCTTTGTTGAACGAATGAACAAACAGAAGAGGCAAGGGGCAAACTAAATGGAAAACCAAAGGCCGGTACATAAGAAGGGCTCATGTCAGCAGTGGCCTCTAGGAGGCACAGCATCCCGCCCAGACTCTTGCCTTGGCAGTCTGGGCCCCTGGCTCATTCCCAACATCTGCCTACTCACCGCATTCTCTGGGGACTGGAGCTGGCCTGACAAGGCTGGGCTGCTATTATAGCCAGAGGTCATACCAGATGAGAGGCTTCCATTAGAGCTGGTGCACAGGGAGCTGGAGTTGGCCAAGGTATGTAGTTTATCCTCTTCCTGGGAAGGACAAATCACCATTTACCAGCTTCTGACGTGCCCTCACTGGCTATGCCCTCTCCTACCCAAAGCCACCCCTTCCCTGCTCACCTCTACTGCTCCTTTGTCCACCTCCCAGGGCCTCCCTGACTTAGCCTCACATGCCCTGGCTTCCTCAAAGCCACCGCTGCTCATATTTCCCCATACCCTGCACTTCACACCGAAGCCTCTTTCTCCCAGGCTGTGGCCAGGGAAAGGAGCTGGTGTGATGATGTAAAAAGAGAGTGAGCTCAGCTTTGAGTTGACAACAGGGGTCCCACAGCCTCCTCCAAATGTTATGCATGTTCCAAGATTCAGAGGTAGCCACGGTGAAGGTGGACCAGTCTGAGGTCCAGGCCTATCCTGAAATCAGAGGCTTGCCCCACTCCACACCCTCAACAGCTGGGAAACGATCTGCTGGTGGATTCTCAGCTTCTCTTGTTCAGTCTGCTCCCGCAGTTGGTCTCGGGCCCGGGCAATCTCCTCCTTGGCCTCCTCATGGGCCTGCTGGTAGTCTCGCAGCATCAGCTCTATGTCAGAGGGTGGCTGTGCCAACCTTGACACCGACTCTGGGCTCCTGAGGAAGATCACGGGGTGGAAAGAACACGGTGGGTGGGTAACAGTCCTGGTCTGTCCATCCAAGGCTAGCTTGGGTGATACCACCTTCTTAAAAGACCCATCCTCCATTTGCCCACAGGGTTTTAAAGTTTGATTTTTTAGCCTCAGGAGAGGTTGCTGTACAGAGAGAACCAAGCCACCTTGAGACCCAGGCCTGCAGACATGCATAGCATGTCAGAGCCCTTCTGTCCATCCTTTCCTGTGCCTTCTCTCTGCCCAACTCCTCCCTCACTCCATTCCCTTCTATGTCCTCTTTCCACATACCCTGTCTCAGATAGAGAACCCTCCAGGATGCTAAAACTTCAGCTCCTGCTCTCCACACTCCCCTCCCGCAACAGAGCCTGCTTCCAGCAGGGTTCTGGGTCCACCCTACCTGGTGGTTTCCACAACACCCTTCCTCAGTTGCTGCAGGTATTCTCGGCGTCTGCTGGGCAAGTCAAGATCCCACACGAAGAGCTCTTTGTTGGGCAGGAGGCTCAGTTGTTTCTGCGGGCTAAGGCATCGTGTCCGGCAGAAGTTCCCAAGTCGCTCAGCCCGCTCTCTCCTGAGGGTCTCAATGGCTTTTTTTTGCCTGAGGCAAAACATGATTCGCTGAAGCTGGCCCTGAATGTCCTTCACTTTAAGAGCTATCTCTGACCCCTGGAAAATCCCAGAGATGAACCAGGGCAGAGGAAACAGCAAGCTATTAGCTTTCTGGGGTTCTCTTTCCTCACAGCCCAACCCTTCCCCTCCCAACTCCAGGCTGGGGGCCCTTACCGTGCATGGAGCTCCTTCCAGGTGGATATCACAGGTTCATCAGCAGCAAGCGCCTCCCCTGTCCCACTCTGCAGCACCTGGAGCAGGGCATCGGCCTCCCCAAAGCCGTGGTGCAATTTCGCTTCTGTGAGTTCCACGCTGAGTGAGAGGTTCTGGGCCCCAACTTGCAGGGGGATCTGCTCCCCCTGGGACCACTCAGGGTCCTGGCTGTGGTCATTAGGAGGTTGTGGGGTGCTCTGTTCCTGCTTTTCAGAGCTGAGATCACCGCTGGCCCCCAGCTCCTCCTCAGTCATGTCCACCCCCACAGGTGAGCCCTTCTGAACCCCACACCAGTTACTAAATTTGTTATGCGCCGGGAGGTCCCTCAGACTGTGGTGCTGGGGCTCAGGGGCCATGCACATCTGGCAACTGGAGCACAGTAACCCCTCAGGTTGGCAGGCCTGAGGGAGGCCCAAGGCAGAACCTCGGAGCCCTGCAGTATCAGTCAACTCAGAGACAGGGCAGGGGCTGAGGTGCTGGAGGCCTCCACATGAAGAAGGTCGGTCCAGAGTGCGTTGTGGTTCCCCTGGAGATGTTGAACTCTCACCTCCATTTTCTATCCTGCTCCGCCACTGACTTGGCTCCCCACCGCTCAGTGGGCCACGCTCTGGGGAAGCCACCTCCTCAGCCACAAAGCTGTCGGCCAGCGTCTGGCTCCTGTGCCTCAGTGGTGGTGGCAGCAGTCTACTTTGGACCCCAATCGTGGTCCTGGGCTGAAGCCGCTGAGGGTGCTGCCCTAAGAAACTTAATTGGAGTTTTGGACTCTGTTGTGGGTTGTGCGGGGAGTGTAACTCAAGGAAGGACCTCCCGTTACTCCTCTGTAATGCACTTCCACCTCTCTGGGAGCCGCCCAACTCATCAGTGGTTTGGGAATAATTATCCATCGGAGTCCTTGGGGCACCCACAGGGTCTGGGCTGGAGTCAAGCTTCTGGTGGCCTTCAACAGGGTGAGCTGAAGGGGCTGAGAGGGTCAAAGAGCCTGGGGGAAGACCCAGCTCTTGGGTGCTGGCACTAAGAGTGAGGATTGGGGAGGAGGCCCTGTCCACCAACAAAGCGCTGGTGGGGCCCAGCTTCTTCTGGACCCTAGGGTCCCCAGGGTACTGGGAAGTACTGGGAAGGAGCCCTGGGGAATGACAGGGGCTGGGACTGGGACTGCTGACAGCTATGCAAGATGACTCCTCTAGCTGGAAGCTGGGAGGCAGGAAAGCATCAGAAACTGAGGGGCCCACAGAAGGAAGATGCTGCCTAAGGGGGGCTTTCTGAAACCCCAAGTGGGATGAGGGTGTTGAAGGGTTCTGGGGCTTGTAGGGAGTGCTTTCTTCCTGAAGATACAGGAGCTGTGCCATTTTCTGTGCTGTTTCCTCTGCCTCTCTCTTCTGAGGTACCCCTGGCACATCTCCCTCTTCTTGAGACACAGTTGAGGTATGTGAACCCAGCCCTTCGAGGATCACATTGGCCCCCTGAGGTTCGGCCTCTGAAGCCTGGAGGCGCAGGGTGGGTGAGGCGAGGTCAGTCTGGCTGCCTTCATCCACAGTGGTCTGAGTAGAGCCATCCATCATCAGGGCCTGTGGGGCTTTATCTGGGATGTCCCTCTTGGTGTTCTGCTCCCTTCTGGCCACACCTGGCTGGGAGAGACTCCCAAGCAGCTCTGAGGTACTGTGCAGGAGCTGTGAGAGGTGGAGAGACAGATTGTGCATGTTGGTCCATGAGGCCAGATCAGAGGCTGATGCCGCACTAGCTTCAGGCTGAGCAAAGGAGATGTCAGTGCTGCTCTGGTGGCACCTGCTGCCGAGGGTCTGTGTGCCCTGTTCGAATATGTTCGTCCTGGTCTGTCCCACAGGGCAGCCTGCCCCTGATGGATACAGCAGCATAATCTCATCCGCTGGACCTACAGCACTTCCTTCAGCCAAGGGGGGCTTACTCCTCAGACAGTCTGCTTCACCAGAAGGGCCCCTGAACCGGGGTCTTCTGTCATGACCTGAAGTGGGGGCTACTCCTTCAGAGCTCGTCAGGATGTGGGGGTCTCCTAAAGAAATTGAAGAACTCCCTGGGAATACTTCCCAGGCCTCATTTGAACCTTGGGCATTCTCAGTGCTGCTGTGTGTGGTTGACAGATCGCGAATATTGGCATAAGTGCTGAGGTGAGAGTGGAAGCAGGAGTTCTGGTCTTCTAGGCCATTGTCCACGCTGGAGCACCGGGCCACATTTGATGGTGTCAGGCCCTGGGGTTTCTGGCTGCAGGAAACATCGATCGTACTGCCAAACACATATTGCTTCCAGCCGATACGTGCATGCTCCTCTGGACGCCAGGGCAGGTCATAGCGACTGATGGCACTGGAGCCGAAGTGCAGCATTCCTTTGTCCATCTGAGAGCACCAATTTTCTGGCCTAACCTGGACACCCAGTTTCTCTGGCTTTCCCTGTTGGGCCTGTTCCAAAGTACCAGACATCCAGCTGGTCATGAAATCAGGGGTTGGCATGTGTGAGAGGGTAGAAGGCACTGGATAAGGAGGGGTGGCAGGCTTCAGGGGCCTGTGATCAGTAGTGCCATCATCCAAGTGAGATGAAGCTTTCTGATTGCTGTCCTCAGCCTGCAGAGATGTTCTTGCCACTGACTTTCCTGAGGAATAGGCCCTGAGATGTGGGTTCCACAATCTGTCAGGCCCCTGTGTATCTTCGTCTGTAGGGGAAGGAGGCTCCACACTCAAGTTTAGCTCCTGAAGAGAACGAGAAGAGCTGACAACTGAGAACCGTGGTGTGGGGGAGGACTTGGAGCGTTCGGGGCCAGAGAAGATTGCAGTCACAGGAAGTGAGCCCCTGTGGTTGAGGGCTGGCTGCTCTCTGCCAGTATAGAGGTTGCCAGGCCCCTGAGAAACAGGCTGTGGTGTTTCATTTTGCCTCAAGGACACAGTGGCTGGGTCTTTGAAGCCCTGTGATAAAATCTTGGACACAGGAGGCTTGGCCACAGCCACCTCCTGTCTCCTAGCATCTAAAATCTGACAGCTATCTAAGCCACCTTCATCAGAAGGAAGGGGATTCATACCCTGGGTGAAGCCTTCACCACCACCTGAAGCCTGGTCTCTGTGCTGCTCTTCTTCCTGCCAGCGACTGTCTTCCTGGGGGCTGCAGGTATGTTTTAACCTTGCTACAAACTTGGCTTGGGAATCCAAGCAATCGTGATCTCTCAATTCAGTGGAAAATTGTGGCTTTTCCAAAAAACATCTGGTGGTATTTTCAAAACATTCATGCCGTGGCTCTGCCACCAACTTGCTCTCCACAGACCCTTCACTTAAATCCAGGGGGTGTGGTCCCGGAGTTGTTGCAGGTGGTTCTGGACTGGTTTGAGATACCTGTACATTCTGGTCACCTACAGAGCTGTCCCTAAACTGCCTCAGTGGCTCAGAGTACATGCCTGCAGGGAAAGAGGTAGCCTCAAGTCCTGTGCTTGCTTGGTTCTCAGCAACCTTTTTCTCAGGAGCGCCTATTAATCCTAAGCTTCCATCAGTAGCTGAGTGGCTGAAGGAACTTGTCCTCCTCACATCAGAGGCAGAAGGGGATCTGCAGCCTTGAGCCCCAGATAGGATAGCAGCCACAGTAGAGGGCTCACAAGTGCTGCTCTCTGTTATACTAAATTCCCTATTAACATCTTTTGGCTCAAGGCTATGTGTCAAGAGCACATCAGGTCCCCTAGAAGAGGTCTCTCCTGTCTCATCCATTTCATAGGCCCTAGAAGGTACTCCACAGGGTGAGTGGACAGTATGTAGGGCAGCCTTGAAAGGCTCCTTCCCCAGGTCACCACCTCTACAACACAGCGAAGTAGAGGAATGGCAGGAATAAGAACGAGTAGCAACAGGTTGAGAACTGCATGGCTGTCGGCAAGGAAGAGTTCTGCTCTCTTTTCCTCTAGACGTTCTGAGAGTCCTGCTGCCTTCAGGGTTCCTTGAGAAGACAGGGCCATGTAAAGCTTCCCATGGATATCTGCATGGGGCTCCCTCTCCAATTCCCTCAGGATTTGGGCTTGGTCTTTGATCTGGCAGTGGAGTTGGTCTGGAATGTTTGCTGCCAGCCCTGCAGATTTCTGTCAACCCAGACCCAACACTCTCCTTCCACTTCACACACTGCTGTGTGGGAGCTTCCAGTTCAACCCCTGTCAGAGCTCCAGGCAGAATGGTATCTTGTTTGGGATTTGCCCTACCTTCTTCAAAGCCAGTGGAAGCCTCAGGGCATTGGACATGGTCTTGCTTAGGCCCTGAGGGACTTGTAGAATTCTGAACATCACAGGTCACAGACTGACTTTCAAAATGGGCTGTTTTTTCTTCCTGTGCAGTCACTAATGAATTACCTGAAACTTCTCTGTATGTGGTGTTTAGAGCTCTGGGTTCCTGATGCTCTGGGCTGCTGTCCTGACTGCCAGCGGGTATGCCCTCTGCAGTCTCCTGCGGAACTGACTGACTTAGCTCATGCAGAGTCACTCTAGGATCATCACAAGGGGCCTGAGAAGATAAGGCAGCCACTACCTGCTTTGATACTACCCTCCTGACCCCCTCCACAGGTGCTGAAGAAAGAAGACTGTCTGGGGCCAAAGGATCAACAGAGGAAGGCGTTCTGGTTGCATCTTCCTTTTTCTCTAGGATTTCAGAAGAACCAGAGTGACATATAAACGGTTCATTTGTTCCCGCGAACTGCCTCAGTTCTCCAGTACAATGTTTTTTGTCTAGAGCAGGGGCAGCATGGGAGAAAGCCTGCATAGGACCCCACGGCTGTCTGTCACTTTCCGTATTGGGCAGAGATTGAAAGCTGTCTGCAGACAGAGGTGTGGCCTGGACTTTCCTCTCATCAGTTGACAGATCTGTCTGCCCTGCTTCAGCAGACAGAGATGCCACATGAAATCCCGGTGCTTCAACCTCATTCCTGGTCTGGTCTGATGATGACAGTTCTATTTGTTTACACTGAGGCCTGCCAGCAACCCCTGAACAACATTCAGGTTCTAGTAAAGTTTCACAGTAAGAAAGGACTGTGCCTCTGGCCACAAAGTCATTAAGCTGCTTTCTCTGGGCCTTTGCCTGTCTGATCTCCTCCAAGATGGCCAGACACATGGATGCATAGTCAGAGGGCTCCAACAGCCTAGGTTCCTGACTGGGCACCCTCGGCAGGGAAACAGGTGCTAAGGAAACACTGCTGGTCAGTCCAAGGTCCTCAGTCTCCTCCTCTGCCTTCTGCCTTGGCTTGCTGGCTTGGTCATTATCCTTTTCCAAGGAGAAGCTGACCCTCTTTTCAGGCTGGCTAGAGACCTTGTTCAGCGAACTGACTCCTATTTCTTTCTGCACAGCCACCTCGGCTTCAGAAGCAAAATCTTCGCTGGTACTGAAACCCAGCAAGGTGATTCTGAGGTCCTTTCCATGGTCTTGGGGGCTGGTGCTTGCTGAGATCTTGTCCTCTTTCCCCAGAGAAATGCTCTCTGGTACACCAGATTGACTATGAGATCTCATGGCCATGGATCGCACAGACCCACACCAGGCAGTGTGTGCCTCGGAGGAACCCCCTCTAACATTTCCTTCAGGGCTGTGGCCTCTGGTCTCTGTACTCTGGTCCTGATGAGGTACTCCAGCTACCAAAGGACTGTTATGAATTTTCAACATTGTGAGATCCAGCACACAGTCAAGTGAAGAGATGCCTAGAACACCAGGTACATGAAGACAGCTTCTTGGCCGCCTTGGAGAATTCAAGGGCAAGGTATTACTCAGGTCTTGGTGAAGAGGAGCTGTAGAGAATTCGGTCCAGCTTAGTAACGGGCTGACAGTTTCCTGGCTGAAAAATGTGTCCCTACAAAGCTGGCTGAGACTAGGAAGTTTCTGAGTCACTTTATTTTCTTCCTGTAGGCTGCGTCCCCTTTGCATAGGCATTTCTTCAACTTTACCTTGAGCTTTTGGCTCCTCTTGGTTGGAACTACTTAAGTGTTCAGCAACTTGGCTTTCCTGAAAACCTTTCACAGTCTCCAATTCCTCAAGACTTCCTAAGCCCCAAGGCTGCTCTTTGAGACTTGCTGATGCTTTTACTAACTGGCCATTATTCTCAGAAGACCTCTCTAGCCTGGGCTGCAATGGCAGAGCTCTAGTCAAGGCTTTCATTCTCTGTGGGCGAAAAGAAGTGTTGGTGAACTCTCTGCAAGTTGTGTGTTTCCCTAAAGAATCAAAAATATCCCTGGCAGGTCTGTCTGATCCAGCTGGGTGGGTGTGCTCTCTCACAGGTCCACTCTCTTGTACACCTTCCCTTGACCTGAAGGGGTTCAGGGTGATTTTCTGGACCTGGGGATGGTTCCCAGTGCTGTTAACCTCCATCTCTCCAGCTTCACTATCCCTAAAGACAGTAGCATCTGCCTGTCTTGGAGAAGATGGCTGATCCTTAGAGGTCAAAAGGTTTCCAGAGCTGTCTGGCCTAAGGGCATGGTCAGTCTTCTCCTGCTCCTTCTGGTCCTGGAACACTGACTCCTTATCGACACCTGGTGTGTGGGAAGCATGAGCCTGCTTATTCTGCTTAGATTCAATTTCTAAGATGCCATTTTCCAGCTGCATTACACTCCTAATTAGCCTAGCCATTTCATCAGTATTATTAACTCTTTTATTCTGTTTCTTTTCAGAAGGTTCTCCGTTGGGATTTAACATTTCTTGTGACTTTCCAGGACCCTTGCATTCACCGGGGTTTCTTTCCTGAGGGCATGTAACTAACTGGAACCTCTCATATGCAGGCTTTGTGCCTGGAAGCTTAAACTCTTCTGAGCTATCTTTGGGATGAAGAGCTTTTTCAAGAAGCCTAATTTCATTTTTCCCTTCCCATTTAGGGGTTGGACTCTCATCCTGGGCCACCATCACTGGGCTGCTTACTCTATGACGTACTGATCTGGACTTCAAAGAAACAGCACTTTCCCATGGCAAGTCTTTCTCAAGGCCTACATTGATGGTCTGCCTCAGAACTGTATTCTGATCCAGATCTTCTTCCTTACATGCCTCAGATTCGAGAAAGAGGAGGAGAGGCTTCCCAGACTCAGTGCTGTCTGAGGAAACACTGCAACAGGACTGAGCAGTGACCTCTCCTCCTTCAAGTGCTGGAAAACTGTGTTTATTTAAAATTCCAACTTGATTTTCAAATTCACATACTTTTGTGCTGGTAGAGGGGAGAAAATGTCTGTTCTGAGTAACAGAAGAATAAACTGAATCATGGCTTTCTTCTGTAATATTTCCAGGGCATTTACCTGATTCTCTGATGACTTCCCCGGCATTCAGACCTACTGGTATCTCAGTTATGACCTGCTGAGATGAGGCAACCTTAGAATTCTGGTTTTGTAACAGCACTGGCAAATTATTCTTCAAATAAGCATCTTGGAGAGCTTGGCCGTTGTGACCAAAGCCCCAGGCTTCCCTGGGGGGTGGGGAAGGTACCCTTACTTCTCTGCAAGCTGGAATCTCTAAGGCAGTTTCTGTCAGGGCATCCCTGCTTTTGGTCACATAGAATGTTTCCAAGAGTGGGGGCTGCAGGGAAGATGACAATGGATTCCAGGCAGCAGAGTGAAGGTATAGCTCTGGACCTGAAGGAAAGGCAAAGGAGATATTTATGTGTCTTCTAACTGCTTCCTGAGAGCTCTCCTGGCAATCTGTCTTCTCTTCCTCTAGTGGGTACTGGCTGTCAGGACTTAATTGCCCTGGCTGGACTGCACTATTTTTCCTGAGAGGAGCCCAGCCTTGGGGCCAATGGTCTGCTTTGGTGGCTGTAGTGACATTACTGTGACAAGCGTTCTTCTGGAAAAAATACTCATCAGAGGAAGTCATCAGTCCAGGTTTCCTGCAACTCTGAAGGCGTTCTTCCAAGTTGTTCTGCTTGACTTCACATGCTTCTGTCATGGAATCTGGTATCGTGTTCCCTACTGCAAAGACCTGTGCATTTGTAGATCGAGAAGCAGCCAATGATTCTAAGTCTGCTGAATAAGTTTCGTCATAACTCACCTCTTTCTCACTAGTGCTAAAGAAATCTGAAACACCTTCTAATTTGGCATTTAAACTGTCCTGTTCTTTCTCTGCCCTCAAACGCCTGATTCTGGACAGATGGATTGGAAAGTTGTTGAGATTCAGATTGCTAGATACCTTAGGGCCAACTGGCAATGGAGTATCTCCTCCTTCGCCAGAAGCTTGGGCCAGGGAACCAGAGTCTTCCTCAAGGTAGGGGAAAGCTGGCCTGGGCGCTCCTATGGCCTCCAAAACAGGGCGAGAGAGTTCAAGGAGGTACTTTTGCTGAAGGGCAGACCAGTCCCTTTCGTGGGTGCCGCCTACATGAGTCAATGTGGTGGCAGAGGCAGACAGCGCGTTTGATACACTAGAATTGTGGGATGCTTCAGAGCTGCCCTGCTGGGTCGTGTCATGGATGCATCTGCCCTGAAAAGTGCCATCAGCTCCTGGTTGAATAAGCTTTTGAATTCCCCAGAGAGACAGCCTGGACGTATCAGAAGCAGAGGCTGTGTGCTCATCTCTTGCAATGCAGAGGAGCTCAGTACTGCCTTGGTGCAGTTTGGAGCTATATGGCAGAACCGTTTCTGCATCTGATGGCTTTAGTTCCTCAGTATTTAGCCAGTATCCAGGTCTCTCCCCCTTACAGTGGTGAAATTCCTGCACATCAGGACTTGGACATAAAGAACCCACTATTCCTGGGGGGCTGCTGGGGTTGATCTTAGAGTCACAGGAAAACCAGGAATCCATGGACATCAGTGGGCTCTCTCTTGAAAGCTGCATGCCTTGGAGAGAGTTGGCCTGTTCAGAGTAGCTTGGCTCTCCCTGTGACTCTGCCTGCTCACAATGGGGTTGGAGCTCACAATGGGGTTGGAACTGAGGATCAAGGTAAAACGAACTGTTCATTGGCAGGACGGCATCCAGCCTAGCTGCTGTTCTGTAGTTGACGGGACCAAGCCTGCATATTGCCTCTTGGTCCATTACAGGCAGATTGGAGTCCTCCAGGTGCCAAAAAGTCTCTGTGGGTATCTCATCAGCTGAACCAGGGAAAGGTTCTTCTTGCTGATCTTCCGCTAGTTCTTCCTCAGCATCAATCAGGCTATCCAAGGAGAAGCTCCTGTGAGTTTGAGCAAGTAGGTCACTGTCTGAGGGTACAGTGAAGCCCCTCACAGAAGATCTAGTTCTGGTCCTGGGGTGGCCATGGTGGTTGGTGGGATGATTTCCCCCTAGCCTGTTTTGTGGGCTTTGGTACCTCTTCTCAGCCAGTGAGTCCTCAGATATTTGGCTGTCGTCACTTTCAGAGTTCTCTGGCTCCGGGAAATCCCACTTCCTCTCCTGAGGGTCTTCTGGCTTTAGTGGCTCTATCAGGGTTTTGGCATAGACACACGAGAGAGAATCCACTGAGTAGTTGCTATCTGAGTCAGAAAAATCATTGTCTTCTCTTGAATGATCCACTACTGGACTAAAATCTGTGAGTGGGGCCATGGTGTCTAGGTCCCTCGTATTTTGTTGTCTCTTCAAAGGACTGCCAAGAGGCAAGTGAGAGGACTTTTTGGTAATATTTCTGACCCTAGCTGCCAGAACCTTCTGATGCCTTTTTGATGCCCTGCTTGGAGAAGGTGGTTTGTATTCTGTCCAAAAAGTCTTGACTGCCTTTCCATGCCCAGCAGTCTGCCTGGGTCCATGAGGATATGAGGAATTGCAACTGGCTCCCTTAGCAGTCGTGTGGGTCCCAAGGTTCCCTTCTTTTCGCCACCCAGCTTGTGTGTGGCTAGGGTCTGCTAGTCCTTTCGCCCCTCCGGTCTGGGTAGTAGAGGTGAGGATCTTTGGCTCATGCCTTGGCTTTCGCTTGTTAGCTGATTTCCTCAGAGATGCTAAGCCCTGGATCACCATCTGATGGGGCTGCTTACCCACCCTCTCCATTTCCTGGATGCCAACAGAGTTGGGACTCACGGTGAGCCAAGTGTCTGGAGCTGAGGCTCCCTTCCTGGACAAGGCTGCTCTGGCTGTGCAGGGCTGCCCATGGCCTGAGGAATGCAGGCCGTTCTTGCGGAGACACCCTGTCCTTGGAGGGTAGGAAGCAGCCTGTGACAAACACTCTTCTGATGATGTTTTCTCTGATGTTTGGTGAGTAGGGTCAGGCATAGGTGGTAATGTGGTAGAGGGATTCCAACTTAGGAAAATGCTGTGAAGACAAGGAAAGCTATCTCAGAAGACGTGAGAGATACTACTTCCTGTGAACAGAAGGAGGTTAAAAACAAGGCCAATGTCACTGTCTCCTATTGACTTCAGAGCCAGAGAAAAGCTCTCTAGGTATTAAAGGAAATTGTGGACACTAGCCCTAGCTCTCCAAGAAGCTCCAGGCCCACACTGTTCCTCAATTTCTTCATCTTATTAAAAAACTGAACTGAAGTGACTGGGCGCGGTGGCTCACACCTGTAATCCCAGCACTTTGGGAGGCCGAGATGGGTGGATCACAAGGTCAGGAGATCGAGACCATCCTGGCTAACACAGTCAAACCCCGTCTCTACTACAAAAATAAAAAAACTTAAAAAAATTAGCCGGGTGTGGTGGCGGGCACCTGTAGTCCCAGCTACTCGGGAGGCTGAGGCAGGAGAATGGTGTGAACCTGGGGGTCGGAGCTTGCAGTGAGCCAAGATTGCGCCACTGCACTCCAGCCTGGGCGACAGAGCAAGACTCTGTCTCAAAAAAGAAAATTAAAAAAAAAAAAAAAAAAAAACTGAACTGAAGCTAATCACACTTACAGAGAAAGTTTCCTATTAATAGGCAATATGAGGAATAGAGGAACAATTTAAATGGTATTATAAGGAAGCAAAAGATAAATCTATAGAGTGATACACATTCTACAGAACTGTAATTATCAATAATATGAAGTAGTAAAAATAATGATTACAAATAAAACAAGAAGAACGGTTAAAAGAAACCTGAAAAACAACAAACAAATGCAGCATGTAAATCCTGCTTGGATCTTGATTTGAAAAACCAACCATTTTAATGCTGAACCATGTTAGAGAAAAAAGAGAGAGAAAAAAGAAAACTGTAAATAGTTTTAGGCAAGCAGAGAAATTTGAACATGGCCTAGGTTTTAGAATACATCAAATAATCTTAATTTTGGTAGCTGTCACAATAACACTGTGGTTACAAGAAAAGTCCATTTTTTTTTAGAAGTATATACTTAGAAATGCAGAACTAAAGGGACAAGGTGTCTAGAAGTTGCTTTAAAAAACTTCAGAAAATGGGAAGGTAGGCAAGTGTGTAAAGCCTAATAATCGCTGAATAGTATCAGTGATACATATACTATTCTTCCAACTTGGCATATGTTTAAATTTTTTCCATATTAAAGTTTTTTTTTAAAAGCCCACCGAGTACTTTGAAGACCAGAGAGGTGAGCAAACATAACACCAACAGACGTTAATTGTGAACCTCCTATGGACGAGAACCTGTGCTAGGTCCTGAGGATATAAAGAGATATAAGACACAAACCCTTGCTCCAACGAGTCTGGGAGATAATACAGCCTGGCCTTGATGGCATATAAGGGGTAATGGAGAAAAGGAGGAAGGTCCCAACTTGAACCTGGGAGTCAAAAAGAGAGCTTACTCACCAGGTGGGAGGTGGGGTCAGAAAGCTCACTTGATGTGGTGGGTCAGGGAGGGAGGTGGTGTAGGAGTCAAGAAGTCTGGTTACAGGCATGACAAGACTGAGGTGTGACTTACAAAGAAACATATATGGATAGTCCAGGTCTAAGGAACAGATGAAAAATGAGGCCGAGATCCTTACCCCTAAGATATTACCAAAGAAGCAAGAATTGCTGCTTGGAGGGTAAGGAAGATGGGAATGGCCTGAATCTAAAACGATATACACAGAAGGAAGAAGAGTAGCCAGAAGACAGAAAAAGCCATGAGGAAAAGAGGACTATACACATCCTTCCATTTCACAGACTGAGGAAATGAGGCATGGGGAAAAACAGAACACTACCTGGGCAACAAGGTTGTAAACTTTAACCAAGTGCTTCCAGGTGACAACTACTGGCTCTACCTGTGTAGCTGGGGCACGTGCTTGCTGCAGAGCCTTTGGGGGCTCAAAGAACTGCAACTCGTCAATTTGCTTCTACATTGAGGCTGTGGGACTGTGGCATCAGGGCTGGGGACCTGGTATGGGGGCTCCTGGGTGCTGTCATCCTGGAGCCAGCACAATGTCGTGAGCTGCTCCAGTCTCTTCTGGGCCTCCAGCAGCCTCTGCTTTTTGATGATTCTCTCTAGCTGGAATGAGACCTTTTTCCGCCGGACATTCCGCTCTGCTGCCCGAAGAGTGTGTCTCCGCAGGAGCTGCAGTTGCACCACCCTTTTCTGACTTTGGACAAATGGGGATGGCTGAATCTCAGGATCTGTCTGAAGCCACGCATCAAGTGCCACAGATGCCTCAAGTTCTTTCTCTGCTACATGGTCTTCTTGCTGCTGCTGTTGCAAGCTGGCCAGCCAGGTCTCTTCTCTGAGCAGACACTGCTGGTCTGGGAACCAAAAACACCCAGAGAGAAGTTCAGCATCTCCTTCCCTGCTTGTGGCTGCCTGGACTCAGACACCTCCAGCCATGGCTGGACCTGTGTGGAGTGAAAGAGCTGGCCAAGGTGATGTGGCAGGATGAGGGCTGCAGGGCTACAGGGCTCCCTTACCACAGGGTAAGGGAATGAAGACCCTCAAGCCTCAGCACAACAGTGGGCACATGTTAGGGCAGGCAGTAGTGTATGGACACATAAGCAAATGAGGAGTGGTAAGTAGGAGGTCCATAATTCTGAGGACAATAAGGAAATTAGCTTCCTTATTCTTGCTTCCAGCCCTCTTCTTATAAGAACCTCTGGTGTCTAAAAGAAAAGAGAACATCTAATACCAAAGATTCCATCATATCACAAAGAAAACCAAAGAGAGAATACAGAAGGCTGAAGAAGCAGGAAAATGAAAGAATAAGGAGGTCAGGCAAACACATTAAGTGGTGGACACCTACTTTCTTTAATCTGCTGGCTAATCCAAGTTTGGTCAAATTCCAGTTCCTTCTCAGCTTGAATCTCTTCTGCTAGGATTTGATGCCTCAAATCCTCCACGTAGCTCTGCTGCTGCTGAATCTGGGCCCTGTGGGATGTCTCTCCATACCTCAGTGGCTGACGGTCCTCGTCACATTGCTCTTCAAGCGCTCTCCTGTCACAGAAGCAGCTGAGGTTACCCAACAGGAAATGCAAACCAAGCTCAGGACAAACTGACAGCAGTATAAGGCCTTCCAAGAGAGCCCCTGCAATCAACAGGGTAGAGAGTGCTTTGGACTTCTGGCAACCTTGGACAAACAGGCACGGTGTCACAGGCAGGTCATGATGTCACAGTGCAGGAGGGGAGAATGGTCATTAAACTGACGTATTCTTAGAGTTGTGGGTTTAGCAGAAACACAGATCCACTGTAGATAAGGAAAATCACCAGGAAAATTGTTCTTTTTAAAAAGACACAAAAACATTTTCGCTAAATTCAGAAGTTTGGTCCTTTAAAAAGAATCAAAAGGTGTCTGCTAAAAATATGTTGGAAACACTCAGTAAAGCAGAAGCTCCAGAAACACTCTCTCCTACATATTCAGAGATTGTACTGCATCTCCATTCCCTGAAACAGAAATCCTCTGTGATCTGGTAGCAAAAGCCAGCTGATAATTTACATACACACCATGCCTGTGTGTGTGACCCAAAACACAGCTGGTCTCCACTTGAGAGCTGTTTTCAGTGAATAAGCCCTGGAATAGGATCCAAGAGTTTTAGACTCTACCACACCTTTCAGAGATATATACTGAAGCATTTACTGGTGAAATATGTCAAGAATTTGTCTAGATCCAATGAGACGGAATGAGGGAGAGTGAGTGTGGATATAAAAGAACTAAGATTAGCCATGAGTTGATAATTTGTGTTGTATTTGAAGTCTTCCATAATAAACAGCTTTAAAAAATTTTACATTTTTTTTGTTTTTTTTGAGACAAGGTCTCACTCTGTCACCCAGACTGGAGTGCAGTGGCACGATCTTGGCTGACTACAACCTCCACCTCCCGAGTTCAAGCGATTCTTCTGCCTCCGCCTCCCAAGTAGCTGGGATTACAGACATGTGCCACTACGCCTGGCTAATTTTTGTATTTTTAGTAGAAACAGGGTTTTACCATGTTGGCCAGGCTGGTCTCAAACACCTCACTTCAAGTGATTTCCCCATCTTAGCCTCCCAAAGTGCTGGGACTACAGGCATGAGCCACTATGCACCATGCCCGGCCTAAAAAATTCTAGATTTTAGTCATGCCTTACTCTGCCACCAGGTTCCTATATGACCATAGATGATTCAGAGGCTTACTCTGGAAACTGACAGCTTCTACTCACTTGCCGACCTTTCCCTGGGGTCATGCAAGGACCTCAAATGCTTTTTCTGCAGGGTATCTTCATCCCTGTTATTTAGGTATTTAAAAGAGCCAACTATATGGATACCCCAGGATGGGCACAGAATGGGAGTAGCTGGGAACAGTCAGATTCTGCCCGAGGCTGACAAAAAAGTTAGAATCAAGCCTGCTTTATCCAGCCTTCCCTACAATCCCAGGATGTCATGACTTGGAAGCTTGGAGAAGCTTATTGGTTTGATGCTGGAACCATATCTCAGGCAGTATGACCAGTATGCTGTAAGGGAACCACTTTTTAGGAGATCTGCCACTTCGTACGGCAGAATGAAATCACATGGGTATCACAGAAGAGGTCCACAAATGAAAGCCCATGAGTACAAATTTGGTATGCTGCCTGTTTTTATTAATAAAGTTTTATTAGAACACAACCACACCCATTTATTTACGTACTGTCTAGGGCTGCTTTTGCACCACCTTGGCAAAACTGAGTAGTTGCAGCACAGACCATATGGCCCACAAAGCCTAAAATACTATCTGGCCTTTTACAGAAAAAGTTTGCCGCCCCTGCCTTGGAAGAAATTAAGATTTCATAATGCAGCCTTTGGAGGACAGTGAAAGATGGATGGGTGAAGAGTGATAGGTGGAATAGCCCGGGGGAATGGGAGTGGGAGCTGACACAACCACAGTTTCTTCCCAGGGAAGGAGGCTATGAGGTCATTCAATCTGCAACAGGTCCAAGGACTAGAACATGTCCAGACACTTGAGTGAGTGTGCTCAGAAGACTAGCACTGATTGCTGTGGGCAAAAGGCCAGATATACACAGTGGAGCATACAGAAAGAGGAAGGGTACTCTGTTACGCGGAGGCTCAGGATAGCAATTGGAATAGAAACCTGTTAATGCCAAACAAATAGAAAAAGCAGTTAACAGGAAACATACATCTATATGTACCGTGCTTGTATTACTGCTCCAAATTCTGTCTGACTAAAGAAATGGCTGAATTACAAACATGAGCCCATCAAAGGGTCCTAGACAAACCCAGCTAAGACCCACAGACCACCAGATGCAGGAGGCTGAGACAGGATCTTTATCGGAACTCTGAGATTACTCATCTTCCTTGCCTGGCTTTCTCCTCAACCTTCAGATTTACAATTTGCTTCACCCTAGAAGGGGCGCTCCCTACCATTCACCTAAGAAGGTGGCAGCTATGATATTGTTTCCTGCAGAGCAATAGGACCTGTAAGGAGAGGCTGTCTGCTGTGATCTCTATAGATGCAGCACGTTCACCCAGGAGGCCACACGATCAGACAGAATGGCCCCTCTGCTAAGCACATTTTGTCAAGTTCCCAGAAAGCAGGTGAAAAAGAAAATAGCAACCTTATGCTACATGTCTGGGTAGATTACAAAGGGCAAGTCTTCATTTACCTGCCAGCCAAGGGACCTCTGTCTTTATCAGGTGACTGCCTTTCATCTCTGGTGGCTCCAGTATCCCCCGGCTGCTGCCTAGTCACCTGCTTGTGAGGACTCCACTGCACCCTCCTGCTTCTTCTCTCACAGCCCTCCCCCAGTCTCGGGGTCTGGCAGCTTCTGCAGCAGATTGCAGCAGCATCTACTTACTAAAGCCGCAGTGGCAGTAGTGGTGGCAGTGGCAGCAGCAACAGTGTCTCCCAGGCTCTAGGCACTTAAGGTTAACCCCCTAAAATTCCAAATGGGAAAATGCCAAGAACACAGGCAACAGTATTCAAAGACAAATTCCTCTCTGGTCTGGATTACTGCTGCAAGGAGAAAAGAAAGGCAGACTGGTCGATTTCCCCTGGCTCTGGAGCCAGCTCCAGCTTTGCAGGCTCCTCATGAATGCTGCTCCAGAGATAAATGAGGGAAAGGAAGCCTGGGATAAAGGGAGGCTTTGGAGCCAACCCCATCCAAGAGCAGAGGGAGAGACTCATAGACACACAACCACAAATCCAGACTGGGAGCCCAGCTGACAATTTATATTTTTCTCTAGTCGTGCAGGTTCCTCTCCCGGGTCCCTTTGCCCAATCACAGACTTGAGCACCACACCACAGCACCTCCACCACGGATTGGCACAGATGCTGGCTACGGTAGCTGGGCAGGACCAGCCCAAGGCTCCTAGAGCTGGTGGCTCAAGAGTGGAGGCAGTGTGTGGGAGAGGGCGTGATTCTGAAATTCCTGTCTTCTCTGAATGAAAGGACACATGCTTGTGTGTCTGAAAGGTCATGTCAGTGCCTGTGGGGCTAGAGAGCCATAGAAGACTTTTAAAAGGCAAGAGAAGAGCACAACACCATGATGTACTCTGGGGTGGACAGGTGAGCTGGGTTGCGACAGGAGAACAGGAAAGAGAAAGGGAGGCAGCCTTGCTGGCAGCAATAGGGGTTGTGGGGTGTGTCCACACCATGCATATATACTCGCTCTTTCGATCTTTATCACAAGAATCCCTGGAAAACAGATGGAAGTATTGTCTCTTTAGAGGTAGGGAAACAGGCTCAGAGGTTCAATGACTTGCCTAAGGTCACATATCTTTTCTGTACCACAGCCAGGACATGAACCAATTTTGTCTGCTGCAATGCATCTCTTCCATTCTCAGCTATTTAAGTTGCAGTGATATTTTCTGTAAACCTCTGAACTCTGGGAAAAACAGATCTTCAATGAGTCTTCCCAACACAAACCTTACCTAAAATAGGAGCTACTTTCATGACTTCACTACAAAGAAGGAAAGTCGCTTTGACAAAACAAAAGCTCCAGCCTAAGCCCTGAATCCACTTTGTGTCACTTCTTCTACCTTATTCTCCATCCCATAGAGCTCTCGGTTATTCAACACTAGGATCATCCTTCATTAAATTTCTGTTGGAGCATCCTTCACTGAGCAGCTCTCCTATGAGGACTTGCCTGCTGTTCATGTTTCCTGAAGCAGAACATTGCTTTTCTTTTTTTGAGATGGACTCTTGCTCTGTCACCCAGGATAGAGTGCAGTGGAGTAATCTCGGCTCACTGCAACCTCCGCCTGCCAGGTTCAAGCAATTCTCCTGCCTCAGCCTCCCCAGTGTCTAGGACTACAGGTGCGTGCTACCATGCCAGGCTAATTTTTTTTTTTTTTTTTTTTTTTGTATTTTTAGTAGAGACAGGGTTTCACCATGTTAGCCAGGATGGTCTTGATCTCCTAACCCTGTGATCCGCCCACCTTGGCCTCCCAAAGTGCTGGGATTACAGGCATGAGCCATCACGCCAGGCCCTGAACCAGAGCACTTCTGCTCCTGTATCCAACACTCCTCACTGCCAAGGTTAGACATAAGATTGTCTTCATCTGCCATCAAATGCTGCTGGCCTGAGGAAAGAACTGCTGGATCCTTCTGAAGAAACTATGGGCCACCGTAACTCTACTGAGACCCTGTGCTCAAGGTGCTTGGCAGCCTCCCAGCACCAGTGATGTCACAGGCACCAAGTCCCCTGCTGAAATTTTCTAAAGGAAATCTCTAAGGCAGAGGTCACTTTGATGTACAGAGGTCACTTTGATGTACAGGAATAGAAGGACTCCCAGTACCAAATCTGCAAAGCTTCTAGATCTGGGAATGGTGTTTTATGTAGAAATGGATGAAGTAGAAAAGTAGTTGCCATCAATCACATGTAGAACTCTGTCTCAGTGTCTCATAGTTACAATGCAGGCAAAGTGGGTATGAGAGGGTAGAACCCAAAGATATTTTCCTATTGTTCCTCTAGTTTCTGCCTCTCTTATGCACAGTTCTGGATTCTTGGTTATGAGAAAGAAAGGATTCTCAGTCACATACTATCTTTAAAAACTCAGAGAAAGCCGTATGTTCTGGAAGCTATGTGCTCACATATACTATGTGACATATACTATGAGCTCACACACAGGTAGGCCAGAATTTAAAGGAGTATATAGGAAGGTAAGCTCAAAACAAAGACGTCCACAAACACATCACAGCTAAATTCTGTGGAGAGAGAAAAGGTGGCCATAGGAACATCAAATAAAATACCTCCTTCAGTGATGAAAAAAGTTGAAATACCAAACAAGAAATGAACAAGGGCCAAGACCACTTCCCTGCCAACTACAAACTTAGCAGCTAGTTCAGCATCATCAAATGACTTGCCCAAGTTGATTCAGACAAGGGCTCATTCAGACCTTGGCTGCTACATTAATCACCCCCCACCCCCACCCTGATCCATGCTGTAATGGACTAAGAAGTGAACCCAGTAGGTTCCACATCAGTATGAGCTGCTATTTCTTACCCTTCCTTCCAAAGCAAAGGGAAGAGACCTAGCCGGGACGCAGTGAGATCTCCATCCAAATCCAGCCACTCCAAAGAGCCACCACCAGCAGCAGCCTCTCCAACCTTGAACAAGGAAAAAAGCGCAGTGAGGCTGCTGTCATCACCTCCACCCCTCCCAGCTTGGTGTTTCCTCTAAAAAGTGGAAACAGGGAGGCCAGCAATAACCTAGAAAACACAGCCCTGCTCACCTGCCTTCGCTGCCGCAGGACAGCAGCCTCTGCTGGGTGGTTGAATCGGAACTTCTGTGCCTTCCCCAGGGTTATGACAGCTCCTGCAGCACAGAGACAAGTGAGAATTCAATCAACAGCTCATGTTTTGGAGTACATACTATGTGTAGGGTACTGTTCTATGAGACAAAGTCATGCCCTCGATAACTGACAATTTTGCTGAGTTGGTAAGATATGTATTAATTCTGTATCTCACAGCATACATCTTGAATTAATAAGACAGACAGGAAGAACTCTACTACTCCAAGGGAAAGGAAGTTGAGTTCCAGGTGCAGTAGTCAGGGAACACTTGATGGAAGAGGAGGAATCTCAGTTCAGTATCAAAGGACAGACAGAATTTGCATAGATTAATAACAGTAGCGGTAATTATAGTAATAACGATAATGAGTGTTTACTGAGTGCCAAGCACACTGTTAAGAACTATAAGGTTCATTTGATCCTCACAATGATCCTATTATTATCCCCATTTTATAGATGAGGAAAGTGAGGCTCAGAGACTTTCCTAGGGAGACAGAGCTAATGAACACAGGTACCAATTTCAGAGTCATTCTTCACTACGAGACTTTGGAATTAAGGCTTATTTATGGGAATAGGATCATATTAGAAAATCTTCAGATTTCAGGGTGCAGAGGCTGGGTGATTCGTTTTTAAAGCCTGCTTCACTGAGCTCTCTGGGCCCATGAGACTGGAAATGGTCCATCACTTGTCTTGGGATAAACAGGGCTGTAGACAGTCCTACCTTGGGTCAGACGGCAGGAGGCAGTGACCTCCCGGCCATTGACTGTACAGCGGGCCCCACGGGCAGGCCGGAGAACAACTACACCACAGGCACTGGTGATAGTGCAGTGGTCTCTCTCGATCCACTGACCCTGCAGGACTACAAAAGAGGTGGTGGTCACTTGGGTGGGAGGACGATCCAGGGAAACATCCTCTCCATTTCTTTCTGTGAGATCAGAATCCAACACCTGGAAGACCTCATACCATAATGAAAGAGGAAGAGCCGACCTGAAACCACCCATACCTGAAATCTTCCCACCATGTGGGTCTCTCCCTATCACATCCCAGACCTGAAACCTAGCAGCGGAAAGAGAAGCAGGCCCTGAATACGCCAATGATTCCCTTCTGAGAGCATCATCAGAGTCCTCTGAAGAAACCTTTCAGACACAAATACTTGCCCCAAAACGTTGGACTCCTATGCTCTGTCACTTACCAATGTCCTGTTCCTGGTCTGAGTCAATTCTTCCAATTTTTGTTGTCCCTTCCTAAAGGGGGGAAAAAGCCATTTTAATGAGAATTAAAAGGGACAGAGCCTTGCCCTACAGGAGAGTCCACATTAGAATGTTCTCTCTCTCTTCCCAGCCTCATCTGTACCACTTCTCATCCCATCCCAGCCTGGTCTGTACCACTTCTCAACTTTGATCCAGGCTGTTCTGACCCTCTGCCCACTCACTCTATAGCCAGGAAGCCCCTGAGATGGTACAGCTAAAAAGTATATCACAAAGCAGCCCAAGCTGTTTGCAAAGTCCAGCAAGTGTAGGCACACTCCTTTCTGTCCCACAGCCTAAAGTTAGGGAATAGTTACAGCCATTGGTCAGAAAAATTCTCTAGTCTGAGAAAATAAATGCAAAAGTATGGCTTTTCCCTGAGAGGCAAAGGTTGGTGTGGTCCAAGTTTGATCCAGTAAGTCTCAATGAAACAAGCATTTTGTGAAGATTTATGGAAACACAGGATTTTTACCTTCTTGGTCCGCAGATGAAGTTTAACAGACACCAGATTCTAAGAAGGGTAAAAGCACAAATAGGAGAAAAGCACCTCTAGAATAAAAAAGAACTGGAAGAGAGTGTAAGAGAGGAGGGGGAAACTGGAGTTAGTATAAATGAATCAGTGGATTAGTTGAAGACAAGGCCTTTTAGACCTTGGATTACGGCAAATCTGCTTAAGACCCATATAGCTCTGTTAGGAAAAGGCAGCAACATGGCAACCGGGATGCTAAATTTTAGACATATCTTTATCGTTTATTGACTAACCATTCCATATGTCCTAGGCATTATGTTGAGTACTTTACACAAATCATATTACTTTATCCTTTAACAACTCAAAATGTAGGTATTCTCCTCTTCTTTTTATTGATGAGGAATCTGAAGCTCACAGGGGATAAACTGCCTAAGAAACCCACATACCAAATAGGAGAGCTATGACTAGAATTCAGGTCTCTTTGGATCCTAAGCCCCTGCAGGCTTTTCCGACTTTACCATAATACCTCCCTAGTAATGAATGAGTTTTTGTTTGTTTTTTTAAGACAGAGTCTCACTTTGATGCCCAGGCTGGAGTGCAGTGGTGCAATCTCAGCTCACCACAACCTTCGTCTCCCAGGTTCAAGCAATTCCCTTGCCTCAGCCTCCCAACTAGCTGGGATTACAGGCGCCTGCAACCATGCCTGGCTAATTTTTGTATTTTTAATAGAGACAGGGTTTTACTATGTTGGCCAGGCTGGTCTTGAACTCCTGACCTCAGGCGATCTGCTAGCCTTGGCTTCCCAAAGTGCTGGGGTTACAGGCATGAGCCACCACACCTGACCAGTAATTATTATTATTATTATTATTTTTTTGAGATGGAGTCTCACTCTGTTACCCAGGCTGGAGTGTAGTGGCATGATCTCGGCTCACTGCAACCTCTGCCTCCAGGTTCAAGTGATTCTCCTGCCTCAGCTTCCCGAGTAGCTGGGAATACAGGTGTGTGCCACCATACCCAGCTAATTTTTGTATTTTTAGTAGAGACGAGGTTTTGCCATGTTGTCCAGGGTGGTCTCGAACTCCTGACCTCAGGTGATCTGCCTGCCTCAGCCTCCCAAACTGCTGGGACTATAGGTGTGAGCCACCGCATCTGGCCCAGCAATGTTTTTAAGGAGACCAGAGAATTCCCCACTAGGCTTCACTGTCAGCAGCCAGAGCAGGGAGGTCCCTGACACTCCTCCAAAATAGCTTGTGAGAAGGAAGTATCCTGGCAGTAATGAATGAGGCTTTGTCCTCCCTGCATCCCCCTCTGTCACTCCTCTCTGCAAACACACAAACAGCCAGAGCCAGCCTTTCCTGCTTAGGCACTGAGGACCACAGCAGTCAATAGATGCTAGCCTCCACAAATACTGTCAAACAGAATCAGAGGGCAGTTCAAGTGAAAAAGGTAGAAACTTTTCATGTGTGTTCAAGGACAGCGTTTCCAAAAAGATAAAGGCTACGGCACATCATAACTTCTAGATCTGCAGGGTAGAAATTACCAACAAAAGGTGATGGCATCTCAGATGAGGACTGAGCTGGCTGGCATATGCGTTCACTGCCCACCCTGCCTCTTTATGTAAGGAGGGTTAGTGGCACAAAGGCAATTATGAGGATGAAGTCCAGCATATCAGTAACCTGGGCTCTCCCTGTCCTTCTCTCTGTCTTCTTCCCACCCAAGACACTTCCCCAAGGTGACCCAGGGAAAAACAGCTTCCAGGTTGCCAGAGACTAGTTCTAGGTAACAAACTTAGCAAACAAACAAACAAACAACAACAAACAGAATCTTGGGCCATTACTGTTAGTACTATTACCTAAGTCAATAGCTACACAAACAAAAGGTGGGGAAAGTACATAAAATGTAGAAATGGCAGGATTAGAAGTAGACTAAAATCTCATCACCCAGGTCCTCTGGAAATGCACCAGGAAGGGAGTAAAATCCTCACTATGCACTGACTAAGCAATAAAAATCAGCAATCCAGCGGAGCGTGAGGGCTCATGCCGGTAGTCCCAGCATTTTGGGAGACCAAGGTCGGTGGATCACTTGAGGTCAGGAGTTCAAGACCAGCCTGGCCAATATGGTGAATCCCCGTCTCTACTAAAAACACAAAAATTAGCCTGATCAATCGTTTATTCTTCAATTCATAGTAATCTCCCACCCCCCCGCCTTTTTTTTTCCTTTTTCACTTTTTTCTTCCTTTCTGCCTTTATTATATGCCCAGACATGCCACAGTACCAGGCATTATCAGTACCAGCTCACATTCCTTTCCTTATTTAAAAAAAAAAAAACTAGCTGTCTAGCTCATTGCAAACACCTCTTCCCCTTTCCCCTCTCTCCCTTACATGCCCAGCTTATCTAAAAAGGTTCAAATGTTTAGCCAACTGGGATTAGTTTAGAATGTACGACCTGACCCTGGCCAACGGGGAAGGGGAAAGGGTGCAGGAGCAGAACTTGCATCAGAAATAAAGGTTCTCGTGCCCCTTTGTTCAGATGTGTTCTCATGGCAACTGGTCAAAGAGAAGCACCCCTCTGTGCAAAAGTAAAATTGCTTTACTAAAAATCCTTTAAGTGTTCAATTTCCTTAACATTTTAAGCATTATTCCCAACAGTGGTGCACGCCTGTAATCCCAGCAACGCAGGACGCTGAGGCAGGAGAATCACTTGAGCCCAGGAGGTTGAGCTTGCACTGAGCCGAGATCGCGCCACTGCACTCCAGCCTGGGTGACAGAGCGAGACTCCGTCTAAAAAAAAAAAAAAAAAAAAAAAAAAAATCAGCAATCCTATCTTCAGATGAGGTCATCGTTCATCTCCATGTCTACGATTGAATCTAATAGTCATGTCCTTTAACCCTCTGCTGCTACCCTAAGCTCTACTACTTGATTTCTAGCTTCATCTATTCACTCCACATCCAACCCATATATCAGATCAGTTCTACTCAAATACTGACCATTTTAATCAATCTGGTGTCTTCCTGACCTCCAACCTCTCTCTGTGGTTCTGACTAATGGGAGGATCTATACAGCCATTTGGTGTTTAGTTCTCTTGCTAAGGTAAAAGTTGTCAGCCACTTCTGCCTCAGGCACTTTCACTAAGAAAATTTATGCCCCGTGTACCAGAAAATAAGCTACTTTAAATTTTCTGTCTGAGAAGCTCAGTCTCTGACAACTTCCCAAAGGGCTTATCCTAAGAACCCTGATGAGCTTTGCTAACATCTCACTTCCATATGCTCTGCAGCACTAGGAAGGAGTCCAGTGTCTCCAGGGATAACAGCAGCATTACATACTCCCCAGAAACTCTTTCTTTGTTCTTTTTAAATGTCAGCGGGGGATAATTATGAGAATGAAAACTAGCTTTTCAGTGAGCACAGGGATTCTGAGCATGTGAAGTACGTTCTGCTGTCCATAGGAACTGTCCTCCCACAGAACACACTGATGAGAACAAGACGAAAGACTCTCTACCATAGGTCTCTAACTCTCAAAACCACTTCACTCAGAAATGAGGACTGGCCTCCAGGTGACACAGAGCCAGGTGGGCCAGGTGCTGTTTGGAAGCTTTCACTTCAATCTTTTTCTAGATGGATGCCTGTCATCCCCTCTTCCCCCACCATCACACCACTCTAGCTCTTTGGACCCTCCCTATGTTTTAAGCTTCCTTTACCTACTTTCTCTGTCTCCTTTTTCAGGTAAATGTAGTGATGGAGAAGTGGGAGGTGTACTGTTTGTTAATTTGGCGTTGAAGTGGGGAACTGTCAGAAGAAAACTTTCAAATCTTCTGAATTCCCCCTTTAGTCTCTGAAAGCCGCCTTTTTTAAACATTATTTGTATTTATTTTATTTATTTTTGAGACAGAGTCTTACTTTGTCATCCAGGCTGGAGTGCAGTGGTGTGATCTCAGCTCACTGCAACCTCTGGCTCCTGGGTTCAAGTGATTCTCCTGCCTCAGCCTCCCGAGTAGCTGGGATTACAGGCACCCACCACCACGCCCGGCTAATTTTTGTATTTTTAGTAGAGGTGGGGTTTCGCCATGTTGGCCAGGCTGGTCTCGAACTCCTGACCTCAAGTGATCTGCCCACCTTGGCCTCCCAAAGTGCTGGGATTACAGGTGTGAGCCACCACACCCAGCCTGAAAGCCACCTTTGAGCAGTCTGTATTTGTAGTTTAGGAGCACTAATGGTATCCTGAGGTTAGGGTTTCACTCTCCATGACTATACCCCTATGCTTCAGCAAGCCAGAAAAGGAATATGATAAACATCATTCTTACTTTAAAATGAGAAAATTAAGGCAAAGAGAACAAAAGTAAGTTACATAAGAACAACAGTAGCTGCAGTTGAAAAACAATTATTCTGATTTCCAGTCTTCTGCTCTATACATACAAAGGCAAAACACATCACAATTTGTCAGGTAGACCAGTTTCCTGAGAACAAACCTGAAGGCAGTTCTGTGGCATCTGTCTTGATTTCAATCCACAGAAACATGACTGCTACTCCTAGCTTTTCCCTCCTTGACCTCTGGGGCCAGTGGCTTAGGAAGAAAAGGATACACCAGCGTCCTCACCTTGAGATGATACAGCACAACACCTGTGCTGAGCACATCATCCTCCAAAGCCATCAGGTGTGGCAGGCTGGAGTCGATGACCACCCCAGCCCTCCTCCTGTTGATGTCCACACTGTAATGCTCCATGAGGGCCTGCCAATCATTCCACTTCTGGGTCCAGTCTTTAGTCAGCTGGTCTATCTGCAGAGGTATAGGAGGTGATCTGAGACACTGAGCATGGGGAACAGACTAAAGGTCAGAAGTCATTACATCTATTCCTATCTCCCCAGGGTACTACTTTATTATGATCCTCACGGATACTATTCAAAGCCCCACAGAGGCCCTTACCTCCTCCAACTGCAAGCTGTGTTTTCCAACTTTTCTACAATAAGCAAGTGTTACTTGTATAAACAGAAGACCCCTCAATAAATGTTATTTTTAAAGTTTTCTGCAATGAACATGTATTGTTTTTATAATTAGAAAAAAAACATGTTATTTTCAAGTTATTTTTTAAAAATTAATTGGGATGTTAGACATCTGTGTTTATAATTTCCCTTTCCCCACCCCACTTTTATATGATCCATACTTGGGAATCCTTTTATGACCTAACACACTTCTTTCCCAAAGTACAGTACTTTGAGTTATCATATAAGCTTGCACATGGCTCACAGAACCACAAAGCACTGAGAGGAATCTCCCTAGGTGGAACTAAGATTATATGGAAATTGTCTGGAAGATCATGTAATAAGACAATAAAAACAATAACAGTAAAATACTGAGTGTTTAATGTGTACCAGGAACAGAGTTTTAAAAGTAAATATACCCAGGTTTAAGCTAAGACCACCTTATGGACATGCACAGTGATAAATGTAGGGTCCTTTTTATTCTCTTAGTGGAAACTGATGCCTAAGCAATGAGCTTATCCTGGGAATGGAAGAACCGAGGAAGCTCAGGAAAAAAAAAAAAAAAATTAGATTAGCTAAGTATTTCTCTCATAAAGGGAATACTTACAAAAAAATTATGCCAGGTTGGCTGGGTGTGGTGGCTCACACCTGTAATCCCAGCACGTTGGGAGGCCAAGGCAGGTGGATCACGAGGTCAGGAGATTGAGACCACCCTGGCTAACACAGTGAAACCCGTCTCTACTAAAAATACAAAAAATTAGCTGGGCGTGGTGGTGGGTGCCTGTAGTCCCAGCTACTTGGGAGGCTGAGGCAGGAGAATGGTGTGAACCCGTGAGGCGGAGCTTGCAGTGAGCCGAGATGGCACCACTGCACTCCAGCCTGGGCAACAGAGCAAGACTCCATCTCAAAAAAGAAAAAAAGAAAAAAAATTATGCCAGGTTTAGGTACAAGTACTTTATGTGCCCTAGAAACATTATTTTAATAATCATTGAGTTGAAGTTTGGAAACCAGGAAACTACAGGGTACCTGTAAAGGGCTGGGTTGGATAGGGACTCCTGGCATTGGTGAGTGGTAGGGCACTCTGGCTTACAGTTCAGCCAACCTGGCACAGCTGCCCCTTTGGCTAGCTTTCATCACCTACTCCTACACTGCCTAAGATGATACAGACAACAAGGGGAAGGTTCAAGTCCAGCTCAGCTGGCCTGCATAATGCAAGTATGCTCATGAGTTTGGAATGATTTCGGCTCCCCTACTTCATCTCTTAGTATAGAGGGATGATATTTTCTGAACCAAAAATCAGAATACATGACTGAAGGAGGAATTTTTTAGAGAAACTTCTAGACGTGTTATTTAGTCTTGAGGTTTAGCAAGGGTGACAAAATGTTAACGTGGCCAGGATACTTTAATGACATATAAGGATGATGCAACAGAATATTAGAAATTGAAACATTTGGTTGTAGGATTTAAATTTAACCCATCTGCCGAGTGTGGTGACTCACACCTGTAATCCCAGCACTTTGGGAGGCTGAGGCGAGTGGATCACCTGAGATCAGGAGTTTGAGACCAGCCTGGCCAATATGGTGAAACACCTTCTCTACGAAAAACACAAAAAATTAGCCTGGCGTGGCAATGGGCACCTGTAATCTCAGCAACTCAGGAGGCTGAGGCTGGAGAATTGCTTGAATCCAGCAGGCGGAGGTTACAGTGAGCCAAGAGCACACCACTGCACTCCAGCCTGGATGACAAGAGCGAAACTCCATCCCAAAATAATAAAAAATAGGCCAGGTGCGGTGGCTCGTGCCTGTAATCCCAGTACTTTGGGAGGCTGAGGTGGGCGGATCACAAGGTTAGGAGTTCAAGACCAGCCTGTCCAACATGGTGAAAACCCATCTCTACTAAACATACAAAAATTAGCTGGGTGTGGTGGTGTGAGCCTGTAATCCCAGCTACTCGGGAGGCTGAGGCAGGAAAACTGCTTGAACCTGGGAGGCGGAGGTTGCAGTGAGCTGAGATTGCACCATTGCACTCCAGCCTGGGTGACAGGGTGAGACTCCATCTCAAAAAAAATAAAATAAAAAATAAAAAAAATAAAAATAAATCTAATCTGTCAACAAAAACAACAGCCCACCATTTTTTCCTTTTAAATATCTCTGGGGGCCAGGTGCAGTGGTTCATGACTGTAATCTCAGCACTTTGGGAGGCCAAGGCGGGTGGATTACCTGAGGTCAGGAGTTCGAGACCAGCCTGGCCAACGTGGTGAAACCCTGTCTCTACTAAAAATGCAAAAATTACATGGGTATGGTTGTGCACACCTGTAGTCCCAGCTACTCGGGAGGCTTAGGCAGGACAATCATTTGAACCTGGAAGGCGGAGCTGAGATCATGCCACTGCACTTCAGCCTGGGTGACACAGTGAGACTCCCTCTCAAAAAAAATAAAATTAATTAAAAAAAAATGTCTCTGGGAATCACCCTTTATTCTACTTTTCCAAAATGTCTTGTCCTTGCCCTCACTGGATTACAGTAGCCTCTTTCCTGGTTGGTCCTCTGCTTCCAGTCTTCCCATCTTTCAATTCACCATGCATACAACTATCATATTAATTTCCCAAAGATACTCCTTTATTATGTCACCAACCTGATTCAAAAAGCTATTAATCCTGTTTACACCAAGTTCAAACCTTCTAAACTTGCCGTAACCTTACCTGCACTACCCTCTACCATGAACACCCATTCTAACCAGCTTAGTCTTCCTCACAGTGTGTCCTTCCACATGGCCTCTCACACCCCTTCCTTCTCTCAGTTTCAAGGCTTTGCTTATGTTATCCCTCCCTCACCCAATGCCTTACCCCTTCTCCCTATGTAACAACCCTAGCAAACCTTCCAGGGCTAGTTCAAGGTCAGTTCTCTGCCTTCCAGCACCAACATATGATGTCTGCTCTGAAAATCCCAAACCATAATGATTTCTTCCTTCCCTAGATCCTTTTCATCTAAATCACATGGTTCATGAAACACACCATTCTTTAAATGTGTTTCCAACTAGACTGCAAACCATTTGAGGGCAGGGACCTCTCTGTACCTCTTGCAGCATCATGCTGAGAACCTATTTGGTCCTCAAACAATGAATATATCTTGGTTGACTGATTTACAGACAAGAAAACAGTGTCTTCCCCCCAAGCTACTCTCACTATCCAAAGGACTTATGAATCCCTGAGAGAATACAGAAAGTCAGAAAGCCATTAACACTCCCCTAGGCAAACACATCCCCTGGTCAAGGCTTAAAGGAAACAAACATTGTCTTCAAATTAGACAGCTCTTCTCTGCCCTGCCAAGGGAGCAACCCTACCTAGCTCAGGAATAATGGAGGGAGCTCCCAGGGTGATGTAAAGCACTACTGAGTCCACCCAACACACCCACCTTCAACTCATTTTGGAGAACCAGCTCCTTCAGGTTTTCATCCTTTTCATCATTCAATGAACCGAAGTTTCTCTGCACAAAGATAGAGATGTGCTTTGATATTTTCCTGGTCTGAACTTCAGGTAGGTCCCACCCTTACACTTGTGAAGGAAGATAAGGTGCAGATAAAGGAAAGACTTTATCATTAAAATGAGAAATAAATCAGGAACCTATGTATTTGGGCTCATATTGGTACAAAGATGGAAAACAAAAATAAATTTTCCTAGAGGGCCCCATTCTCCGTACCTGCCCACACAGGGCAAGGACCATTCAGGCACAAGACAAGAGATGATAAAGTGAAAAAATGTCCACACCATCTGAAGCTACACCAAGAAATCAGATAAATCTCTGTTTTGTCTTTGCTCCTGTCTCTGCCTCATGAGAGTCAACTGAGAACATGGAATGCAGCAGGGCCCAGACTCCATGGAGAAGAGAGGCTCAGAAGGAGAATTTCACTTAAGTATGGAAAGGTTCTGACTGTCTGCATACCAGTTCAAAGCTCAGCAGCAGGGCTTTCAGTCTTTCAATCTCTTCTCTGAGTTCTCTAATCAGCTTTACGTTTGCATCCTGAAACACAGAGAACTCCATCACCACTGATTGTTATCAAGTCCCACTCAGCTGTGAAATGCTATTTGCAATTGGCTTGGAAGAGGTAGATTACTCCTTTGGAGTAGGCTCTACAGCGGTCAATCATTCTCAAGTTGTGGACCCAGCACCTGCAGCATCCACTTCATCTAAGAACTTGTTAGAAATGTACACTTTGGCCCACCCCAGACCTACTAAATCAGAAACTCTGAAGGACTGGGGCCCAGCAGTGGTCTAACAAACCCTCCAAGTGATTCTGATACACACTAAAGTTTGAGAATCACTTCCCTAGAGGTCAAGCAGGTAACACAAAAGCTAGGGCATGTATAGGTAGTAGGTGCTAACCTTCCTGTATTGTGACTAAGCCTAATATTGCCTAATTACATTGCCTTTTTAAAACAGTCTACATATGGGTTATATATGTGTGTGTGTATATATACATATATGTATATATGTGTGTATGTATATATATGTATACATATATATATATGTAGTGTGTGTCTGGCCACCACCTATGATCCCTACTCTGGAACTTCTCACTGAAATTGTGAAGGAACATTTGAAAAATTCTCATTTAGCTTTGAAAAACCAATGAATGGTTTTGCGTGGGCAGAGGAGAAAAACAATAGAGAGAAAAAACATTAAACGATAAACAAAAACCAGTGAATTCCTACACTCTCCTTTTAATATCTAAACAGAGAAGTCACTGCAATTTGCAAAGAGAAAAATGAAACACAGACAACTTGCATTAAAAAACACAGGCATAAGACTGGGCACCTTGGCCCACACCTGTAACCCCAGCACTTTGGGAGGCTGAGGTGGGAGGATCATTTGAGTCCAGGAGTTCAAGACCAGCCTGGGCAATATTGTGGGACCTTGTTTCTACAAAAACTTTTTTAAAAAATTAGCCTAACGTGGTGGCATGCACCTGTGGTCCCAGCTACTCAGGAGGCTGAGGTGGGAGGATCGCTTAAGCCCTGGAAGTTGAAGCTGCAGTGAGCCACAATAGTGCCACTGCACTCCAGCCTGGGCAACAGAGCAAGATCCCTTCTCAAAACAGGGAAACAAATACAAAAACACAGGAATGAATCAACAAAAATTCAAAATAAAAGCAGTAAGCACAAATTTTTAAGTGAACTTTCTTAGAGTGAGCCATTATTGCATCACTGCACTCCAGCCTGGATGACAGAGTGAGACCCTGTCTCTAAAAATAAAATAATAAAATAAAAAATAAATGTTTTTTTTTTTTTTTGAGACGGAGTCTTGCTCTGTCGCCCAGGCTGGAGTGCAGTGGCCGGATCTCAGCTCACTGCAAGCTCCGCCTCCCGGGTTTACGCCATTCTCCTGCCTCAGCCTCCCAAGTAGCTGGGACTACAGGCGCCTGCCACCTCGCCCGGCTAGTTTTTTGTATTTTTTAGTAGAGACAGGGTTTCACCGGGTTAGCCAGGATGGTCTCAATCTCCTGACCTCGTGATCCACCCGACTCGGCCTCCCAAAGTGCTGGGATAATAAATGACCTTTCTTAGAGCGGTAATGGTAAACTAAGGAATCTTAAGAGGAATGGCCTTAGAGAAGTATCTAAAATAAGTTATTCATAAAAGGTTACTGAATGAAGGGCAATAGAGATAGGAGAGAAGGAGATCACAGTACAAGAAAGAATTCTACTCCCTCATCATTTGGAGGACAAGTCTGGAAAGTTGAGGGGAGTACAAAGAGAAAGAAATCAACAAGAGAACAAAAAAATGAGAGCTTTGTGTAAACTATACCAGACCAGGACTTCTGAAAAGGTCTCACCTCATTTACTCGTGGCTTGTTGATAATGTTTTTGGCACTGGATGCATATCTCAGTGTGCTCATGGTCTCACTGTAGCTAGTGTGTGCAGGAGACACCGCTGAGGTAGAAGGAGAAAGTTTAAAAACATGCCAGCCCATCCATCCCAGCCCTTATTCACTTGCCTCGATACTACTGCCCGTGCTGTATAAGACCCCTGATAAAATGAGAAACCTGGGTGGCCATGGCCCTTTCTCTGAGATACAGTACCAGTCCCAACACAGATCCAGCTCTGGCATCCCACTCACTGGCAACCATGATGGTTTTAGAGTTGCCTCCAAGGCTGTCCTTCAGCAGCCAGGTCAACAAAGAGTCTCGGTATGGGATATAAGACTGCCTTCGGGAGGGTGCCCCTCCACTGCTGGTCCCAGAAGGAGAGCTAAGGATTCCACTGTCACCACCATTGCTGACTGAGCTGTTGAGGCTCTGGCAGCTGCTGAAAACTTGGGAGTTCTGGGCTTAAAAGATGAAAAAAGAAAATGGAAGAAAGAAGGAATTATGAAGCAAATATATTAAAACAAAACAATGGTGGAGAACACAGACTTAACCATCATATTTCCTAATCCCTTTCTGTATACAATAGGGTATTTTAGGGATTCCTAAAGACTTCAGACTTAGGATACGAAATGTTTGAGGCATATAATTTTTTTAGACTCCCCTCTTTTAGAACGGATGGTAGTAAGAGAGCATTCTACTCTAAAACCAAGGACAAATATCAACTTTTATTGCCCCAAACCAGAAGGTGACCTTACCAAAAGGAACCCTGTGTCTACCCTATTGTGACAACATGAAAACATGAGTTACTTTCCAAAGTCTCCCTCCCAGTCCTAGTATCTATCAGCAAAATACCTAAGGTGGAGATGACAATTCCCAGAGTCACAAGGGACTTGTTGATATTGGCTCCTTCAGTAATGCGGTCCTTACAGTAACTGGGGTCTGCTCTTTCACTAAAACACAGTCAATGAGAAACAAAAACAAAAGCAAAAAAGACATTATCTTTATAATATTGTTCAAAAATACTATCCATTATTCTGTATATCATGCTGCAAAAGACTCACATAATAAATTCCTTTCAGAATTCAGTTCCAGAAAAAAATGTTACCATCTTGTAATGAACGGGACTTTTTCTGCTTCTCAGGCAATAAAAATCGAATAACTCTTTAGGTTTCTGTTTTTGACTGTCAGAACACTTTATGCTAAATGTAATGCTCATTTACAATTATGATATTAGCATGACTTTTTGGTATATTCACTTCTCTATCTTTATTGTTTTAAATTCATGTATTTATAGCTTTATGGGATTTGTGTCATTAGCTGACAACAGTTTTGAATTTCCTTTTTAAGTTAATATTAAACGAAATATTAATATTAAGAAAATACTAAAAATTCACACTTCCAATTGGCTAATACTTTCAAACAGCACTCAGCTCTTAAGGGAATACTGTACCATATTAATTACCTGTTTTAAAATAAGAAAATTTGCCTTATTTCATCTTACACTTTCTTTTTTTTTTTTTTTTTTTTTTGAGACGGAGTTTGGCTCTGTCGCCCGGGCTGGAGTGCAGTGGCCGGATCTCAGCTCACTGCAAGCTCCGCCTCCCGGGTTTACGCCATTCTCCTGCCTCAGCCTCCTGAGTAGCTGGGACTACAGGCGCCGCCACCTCGCCCGACTAGTTTTTTGTATTTTTTAGTAGAAACGGGGTTTCACCGTGTTAGCCAGGATGGTCTCGATCTCCTGACCTCGTGATCCGCCCATCTCGGCCTCCCAAAGTGCTGGGATTACAGGCTTGAGCCACCGCGCCCGGCCCTCATCTTACACTTTCTTGTGATCACATTATCCCCCTCAAGACTAACTCTTTCTAAATACATATGTAATTATAATTCATGCTCCCTTCTAATACCTACAAGGCAGTATCGTCTCAACCTTTCAAGATTTTTAAAACTTCTTTTCTTTAGAGATGGGGTTGAGCTATGTTGTTATGTTGCCCAGGCTGGCCTCAAACTCCTGGGCTCAAGTGAACCTCCCACCTCAGCTTCCTGAATAGCTGGGACTATAGATGTGCACCACCAAGTAAAACTTTTTTTTTTTTTTTTTTGAGACGGAGTCTCACTCTGTGCTCAGGCTGGAGTGCAGTGGTGCGATCTTGGCTCACTGCAAGCTCCGCCTCCCAGGTTCACGCCATTCTCCCGCCTCAGCCTTCCGAGTACCTGGGACTACAGGCGCCCGCCACCACGCCTGGCTAATTTTTTTTTTGTATTTTTAGTAGAGACGGGGTTTCACCGTGTTAGCCAGGATGGTCTCGATCTCCTGACCTCATGATCCACCTGCCTCGGCCTCACAAAGTGCTGGGATTACAGGCGTGAGCCACGGCGCCCGGCCTAAAACTTTTATTTTAAAAAAAACTGTATAGAAATCAATATTAAATAAAGAGAAAATAAAATCAATAGTAAATCAAAGAGAAACGGTGTACTAATTCAGTTACCCTCACTGAAAGCAGTGGTTTTTTAATCTTTCCTATACATTAGAATCACCTGGGCAGCTTTAACAATCGCCTGATGCTCGCACTCCCACCAATCTCACTAATAATCTGATGTATCTGATCTGAGGTATAGGTATGGGGAGTTTTAAAAGGTCCTCAGGTGGCCAGGTGCAGTGGCTCACGCTTGTAATCCCAGCACTTTGGGAGACTGAGGCAGATAAATCACCCAAGGACAGGAGTACAAGGCCAGTCTGGGCAACATAATGGGATGTTGTCTCTACAAAAAAAAAAAAGAAAAGCCAGATGTGGTGTCACGTGCCTGTAGTCCCAGCTACTCCAGAGGCTGAGGCAGGAGGGTCACTTGAGCCCAGTAGTTCAGGGTTACAATGAGCCATGATCATACCACCGCACTCCGGCCTGGAGCCTGGGCAACAGAGTAAGACTGTCTCAAAAAAGAAAAGGTTCTCAGGTGATTGATTTAACGTGCAACCAAGATTGAGAATCCCTAATGTACAGGAACTTTTCAGCCCCCAGAAAATAACTTCTTAACCTAGCATTCGAAGAGCTTCTTTTGTAATATTCTCAGGATGACTGAAATGTGAAAAAGATTGGAGTTTTATATATTTTTATAAAATATAAAAGTAGTTATATATTTTTATATATATAAAAGTAGTTATATATTTAACTTTTTAAGAAAGAGCTTATTCCCTGTAAAACAGGCAAGAACTAGAGTAATTCCCCTTAGCTTTGAAATCCTAATTACCTGCCTGCTAGGTCCACAAGGTTGATCTTGCTAGCCATTTCAGAAGGGAGGTTGTTCTCCAGGATTGCCTAGAGGAGAAAGCACATTTAAAGCCTGTCATTTGGAACGATTTGTATTGTTTTCCCCTTAGATGTTCTTCTAACCAAGGTGATATTTTGGATTTTTATCCAATTCACTCAACAAATCTGTATTCTAATATGATGCAAACCAGATGAGCTCTCAATATCTGACAGATAAAATCAATAGGGCCCTGGATCATCACTTTAAAAACAAAACAAAACAAAAACACCAGCAGAACTTACAGACTAAGCAAACTTCCATGAAGCTCACTGAGCATAACTTTCAGGGGCATCAGGAATTTCAGTACAATTTACCACGCAAATGCTCAACTCCCTCCCAGGGGGCTCTGACTCTTACTAGCAGAGAGCCACAGCATGTGGGTGGCCTCTGATGGCCTCTTGCTAACCTCAGTCATAGCATCTTGCCAGGGCAGAAACTCTGCCCTATAAGTTCTATTCAGTGGCATCCAGCCCCCAAGAAGAAACTACTCTGACCCCCACCTTGATTCAATGTGGATTTTGTTACTTTGTTTTAGAAATTAATTTTTGGGATTTTTTTTTTTTTTTGAGAGAGTTTTGCTCTTGTTACCCAGGCTGGAGTGCAATGGCACGATCTCAGCTCACTGCAACTTCTGCCTCTCAGGTTTAATTGATTCTCCTGCCTCAGCCTCCCAAGTAGCTGAGATTAGAGGCATGCACCACCAGGCCCGGCTAATTTTGTATTTTTAGCAGAGACACGGGTTCACCATGTTAGCCAGGCTGGTCTCAAACTCCTGACCTCAGGTGATCTGCCTGCCTCGGCCTCCCAAAGTGTTGAGATTACAGGCATGAGCCACCGCACCGACCAGAAATTGTTAACGTTATACATCATCAACCGAATGTAGTTTAAAACATTTCAAATAATCCCCAAATTCCTCAGGTCTTTGCAATCAATCTCTGTCCCCATCCCCAGCTTGAAGCAATCACTTAACTTTCTATGTCTGAAAGTCTGCCTTTTCAGAGTGTTTCATATAAATAGAATCATACAATGTCTGGCTCTTTTCACTGTACATAATTGTTTTGAGATTCATCTGTTAAGGCATGCATCAATAGTTTATTCATTTTTACTGCCATTATTCCACTGTGTGGATTACCATAGTTATCCATTTGCCTTTTGATAGATGTGTGGGTTGTTTCCATTTGGGGGTAATTACAAATAACAGTTATGGATATTTGTGTACATCTTTTTGTGGACATTTCTCTTGGATAAACACCTAGGAGTAGAATTGCTGGGTCATATGGTAGTTATATATTTAACTTTTTAAGAAACTGCTAGGCTGGGCACGATGACTCACGGCTGTATTTCCAGCACTTTGGGAGGCGGAGGTGGGTGGATCACGAGGTCAGGAGATTGAGACCATCCTGACAAACATGGTGAAACCCCGATCTCTACTACAAATACAAAAATTAGCCCAGCATGGTGGCAGGCGCCTGTAGTCCCAGCTACTCAGGAGGCTGAGGCAGGAGAATTGCTTGAACCCGGGAGGCGGAGGTTGCAGTGAGCCAAGATCGTGCCACTGAACTCCAGCCTGTGTGATACAGCGAGACTCCATCTCAAAAAAAAACAAAAAAACAAAAAAACAAACAAACAAAAAAAACCTGCTAAACTGTTTTCCAAAGTTGTTACACCATTTACATTCCCACCAGTAGAGCAGTGTATGAAAACTCCTGCTCCTACGCAACTTGCTGATACTTAGCATTTTAGCCACGTTAAAAGGTGGGTAGTGGTATCTCGTTTGGTTCTAATTTGTGTTTCCCTAATGAATAAGGATGTTGAGAATTTTTGCAAGTACTTAATTGTCACTAGCATATTTTGTTTAGTGAAATGTCAGTTCAAAATTTTTGCCATTGTTTTGAGTTGTTTTCTTATGGTGTTTAGAGTTCTTCATATATTCTGGATATAATTCTTTCATCGGATGTATGTTTAGCAAAGTTCTACCTATCTGTTGCCTTTTTTTTTTTTTTTTTTGAGAGGGAGACTTGCTCTTTCACCCAGCTGGGGTGCAGTGGCACGATCTCGGCTCACTGCAACCTCCACCTGCTGGGTTCAAGCAATTCTCCTCCTCAGCCTCCCAAGTAGCTGGGATTACAGGTGCATGCCACCAAGCCTGGCTAATTTTTGTATTTTTAGTAGAGACACGGTTTTCACCATCTTAGCCAGGCTGGTCTCAAACTCCTGACCTCAAGTGATCCACCCGCCTCAGCCTCACAAAGTTTTGGGATTACAGGCATGAACTACTGCACCTGGCCTGCATTTCTTTTTATTCTCCTAACAGTGTCTTTAAGAGAGAAAAAAGGGGCCAGGCACGGTGGTTTATGCCTGTAATCCCAGGACTTTGGGAGGCAGAGGCAAGCTGGATTGCTTGAGGTCAGGAGTTCGAGACCAGCCTGGCCAACATGGTGAAACCCCGTCTCTACTAAAAATACAAAAATTAGCCAGGCACGGTAATGCGTGCCTGTAATCCCAGCTACTTAGGTGGCTGAGGCAGGAGAATTACTTGAATCCGGGAGGTGGAGGTTGCAATGAGTCAAGATCATGCCACTGTGCTCCAGCCTGGGAGACAGAGCAAGACTCAGTATCATTATTTAAAAAAAAAAAAAAAAAAAAAAAAAGTGCAAAAGGCCAGGCGTGGTGGGTCATGCCTGTAATCCCAGCATTCTGGGAGGCTGAGGCAGGCGGATCACTTGAGCCTAGGGATTTAAGACCAGCCTGGGCAATATAACAAGATCTTGTCTCTACAAAAAAAAATTTAAAAAGTTATTTTGTACACTGTAAGTGTACACACACACACACACACACGTGTAAGTCCCAGCTACTTCGGAGGCTGAGGTGGGAGGATCGCTTGAGCCCGGGAGGTTGAGGCTGCAGTGAGCCACGACTGTGCCACTGCACTCTAGCCTGGGTGACAGAGTGTGACCCTGTCTCAAAAAAAAATTATAAAAGTGCAAAAGTTTGAAATTTTGATTAACTCCAAATTTCAATTTGTACTTTTGTTCAATTTGTGTTTTCAGTGCCATATCTATAAAACCTTTGCCTAATCAAAAATCACAAAGGTTCTCCTAAGTTATCTTCTAAAGTTTAATAGTTTCAGGTTTCCCACTTAGATCTATGATTCAATTAACTTTTCGATAAAGTGCAAAATATAGATCAAAGTTTTTTTTCATATAGACATCCAATTGGTCTCCCATCGCTTGCTGAAAAGATATTTTCTCCACTGAATCGCCTTTGCAACTTTATTAAAAATCAGTTGCCTATATACGTATGAGTCTATTTTGGACTCTATTCTGTTCCCGTAATCTATTTATCTTAACTCTACCACCACACTATCTTGGTTACTTTAGCTTTAGGAAGCATAGGGTTTATCTCAGAGAATGCTTCATGTGCACTTGAAAATATGTGTATTCTGTGATGTTGAATGAAGTGTTCTGAAAATGTCAGTTAGGTCACATAGTTTGATAATAATGTTGCTCAAATCTTCTATTTCCTCACTGATTTCTGTTTCGTTATCTACCTACTACTGGAAATTAGGTACCAAAATATCCAACCATTGTTGAACTGTCTATTTTAATCTTTCAATTCCATCAGGTTTTTCATGTATTTTGAGGTTTGGTTGTTCAGAGTGCATACATTTATAAATGTTATATTTCTTCAGTGTACTGACTGACCCTTTGTCATTATGAAATATTCCTGTCTCTAGTATTTGTCTTAAAACCAATTTTTTTTTTTTTTTTTTTTAAGACAGAATCTTGCTCTTGTTGCCCAGGCTGGAGTGCGATGGTGCAATCTCAGCTCACTGCAACTTCTGCCTCCTGGATTCAAGTGATTCTCCTGCCTCAGCCTTCCAAGTAGCTGGGACCACATGCTTGGCTTTTTTTTTTTTTTTTTTTTTTTTTTTTTTTGTATTTTTAGTAGAGACGGGGTTTCACCATGTTGGCCAGGCTGGTTTCAAACTCCTGACCTCAGGCGATCCATCCACCTCAACTTCCCAAAGTGCTGAGATTACAGGCTTGAGCCACCACGCCCAGCCTTAAAACCTGTTTTTGCCGGGCGCGGTGGCTCAAGCCTGTAATCCCAGCACTTTGGGAGGCCGAGACGGGCGGATCACGAGGTCAAGAGATCGAGACCATCCTGGTTAACACGGTGAAACCCCGTCTCTACTAAAAAATACAAAAAAAACTAGCCGGGCGAGGTGGCGGGCGCCTGTAGTCCCAGCTACTCGGGAGGCTGAGGCAGGAGAATGGCGTGAACCCGGGAGGCGGAGCTTGCAGTGAGCTGAGATCCGGCCACTCCAGCCTGGGCGACAGAGCTACACTCCGCCTCAAAAAAAAAAAAAAAAAAAAAACTGTTTTTTTTTGCCTGACATTAAAATACCACTCCGGTTCTCTTATGCTTACTTTTTAAAATTTTTCAATAGGTTTTGGAGGAAGAGATGGTGTCTGGTTACATGAATAAATTATTTAGTGGTGATTTCTGAGATTTTGGTGCACCCATCACTCAAACAGTGTACCCTGTACCCAAGGTGTAGTCTTTTATCCCTTACCTCCCTTTCCCACAAGTCCCCAAAGTCCATTCTTATCATTCATATACAGTTGCGTCCTTATGCCTACGTGTCCTTATGCTTTTGTATCATCCTATGCCTTTGTGTCCTCATAGCTTAGCTCCCACTTATGAGTGAGAAGATATGTTTGGTTTTCCATTCCTGAGGTACTTAACAGAATAATGGTCTCCAATTCCATCCAGGTTGCTGCAAATGCCATTATTTCATGCCTTCTTATGGCTGAGTAGTATTCCACAGTATACATATACCACATTTTCTTTATCCACTCATTGACTGATGGACATTTGGGCTGGTTCTATATTTTTGCAAATGTGAATTGTGCTGCTAAAACATGCATGTGCAAGTATCTTTTTCATATAATGACTTCTTTTCCTCTGGGTAAATCTACTTGTTTTTTTGTTTTTTTTTTTTTGTTTTTTTTTTGAGACGGAGTCTCGCTCTGTTGCCCAGGCTGGAGTGCTGTGGCCGGATCTCAGCTCACTGCAAGCTCCGCCTCCCAGGTTTACGCCATTCTCCTGCCTCAGTCTCCCGAGTAGCTGGGACTACAGGCGCCCGGCACCTCGCCTGGCTAGTTTTTTCTATTTTTTAGTAGAGACGGGGTTTCACCGTGCTAGCCAGGATGGTCTCGATCTCCTGACCTCGTGATCCGCCCGTCTCGGCCTCCCAAAGTGCTGGGATTACAGGCTTGAGCCACCGCGCCCGGGTCTACTTGTAGTTCTTTAAGGAATCTCCGCACTGTTTTCCATAACGGTGGTACTAGTTTATATTCCCACCAACAGTGTAAAAGCGTTCCCTTTTCACCATATCCACGCCAACATCTTTTTTTTTTTTTTTTTTTTTTTTGGAGACGGCTGGAGTGTAGTGGCGTGATCTTGTCTCACTGCAACCTCTGCCTCCCAGGTTCAAGCAATTCTCTGGCCTCAGCCTCATGAGTAGCTGGGACTGCAGAAGCGTGACACCACACACAGCTAATTTTTGTATTTTTAGTAGATACAGCATTTCACCACGTTGGCCAGGCTGGTCTCGAACGCCTGACCTCAGGTGATCCACCTGGCTCAGCCTCCCAAAGTGCTGGGATTACAGGCATGAGCCACCGACCCAGCCTCTTTTTTGATTTTTTGATTATGGTCATTCTTGCAGGAGTAAGGTGGTATTGCATTGTGGTTTTGATTTGCATTTCCCTGATAATCAGTGACATTGAGCATTTTTTTTCCCTATGTTTGTTGTCATTTGTGTATCTTCTTTTGAGAACTGTTTATTCACGTCCTTAGCCCACTTTTTGATGGGACTGTTTTCTTCTTGCTGATTTGAGTCCCTTGTAGATTCTGGATATTAGTCCTTTGTAGGATGCATAGATTGCAAAGATTTTCTCCCATTCTGTGGGCTGTTTACTCTGCCGACTACTTCTTTTGCTGTGCAGAAGATTTTTGTTTTATTTAAGTCCCATCTATTTATCTTTGTTTTTGTTGCATTTGCTTTTGGATTCTTGCTCATGAAGTCTTTGCCTAAGCCAATGTCTAGAAGGATTTTTCCAATGTTATCTTCTAGAATTTTTATGGTTTTAGATCTTGTATTTGTCTTTGATCCATCTTGAGTTGATTTTTGTATAATGTGAGAGATGAGGATCCAGTGTCATTCCCCTACATGTGGCTTGCCAACTATCCTAGCAACATTTGTTGAATAGGGTGTCCTTCCCCCACTTTACATTTTTGTTTGCTTTGTCAAAGATTAGTTGACTGTAAGTATTTGGCTTTATTTCTGCATTTTATATTCTGTTCCATTGGTCTATATGCCTGTTTTTGTCCCAGTATCATGCTGTTTTGGTAACTATTGGCCTTCTAGTATACTTTGAAGTTGGGTAATGTAATGCATCCAGATTTGGTTTTGTTGTTGTTTTTGAAACGAAGTCTCACTCTGTTGCCCAGGCTGGAGTGCAGCGGCGTGATCTCGGCTCACTGCAACCTCTGCGTCTCAGGTTCAATAGATTCTCCTGCCTCAGCCACCCGAGTAGCTGGGATTACAGGTGCCCACCATCACGCCCAGCTAATTTTTTCTATTTTTAGTAGAGGGGGGTTTCACCATGTTGGCCAGGCTGGTCTCAAACTCCTGACCTCAAGTGATCCACCTGCCTTGGCCTCCCAAAGTGCTGGGAATACAGGCATGAGCCACTGTGCCTGGCCCAGATTTGTTCTTTTTGCTTAGTCTTGCTTTGACTATGTGGGCTCTTTTTTGGTTCCATATGAATTTTAGGACTGTCTTTTCTAGTTCTGTGAAGAACAATGGTGGTATTTTGATGGGGATTGCATTGAATTTGTAGACTGCTTTAGGCAGTATGGTCATTTTCACAATACTGATTCTATCCATCCATGAGCATAAGATATGTTTTCATTTGTTTGTGTCATCTATGATTTCTTTCAGCAATGTTTTGTAGTTCTCCTTGTAGAGGTCTGTCACCTCCTCGGTTAAGTATATTCCTTTGTTTTTTTTTTTTTTTTTTTTTTGCAGCTATTGTAAAAAATGTTGAGTTCTTGATTTGATTCTCAGCTTGCTTGCTGTTGGTATACAGCAGGGCTACTGATTTATGTGCATTAATTTTGTATCTTGAAACTTTGCTGAATTCATTTACCAGTTCCAGGAGCTCTTTGGATAAATATTTAGAGTTTTCTAGATATACAATCATGTTGTCAGCAAATAGCAACAGTTTGACTTCCTCTTTACTGATCTGGATGCCCTTTCTCTTGTCTCATTACTCTGGCTAGGACTTACGGTTACTATTTTTATGGTATATCTTTTCCCATTCTTTTACTTTCAACCTATGTCTGTGGTTCTAAGGTGTGTTTCTTATAGACAGCATACAGTTGGGTCTTGCTTTTATGCTATTTGAAAATTTGTACCTTAGGCAATTCACACTTAATGTATTTAATAATTATTGATGTGCTCAGAACCATCCATGTCTGATTTTTCTTTTTTCTATGTCTCATACCTCCTTTGTTCCTGCTCTTCCTCCACTGCCTTTAACTGTTAAGTATTTTTATTAATATGTACCATTTTAATTTCTGTTGTTTTTGCCCAGAGGCAGCAGAGGAAATGCTGATTTTTAAAATTATATTTTTGAGCTATTTTCTTAGTAGTTGCTCTCCAGATTACAATACATATCTTTATGATCTACTTCAAAGTAATACTAACTTAATTCCTGTAAAATATAGAAACTCTACTTAAATATATATTTCACTTCCCTTGTGCTGTTATTTTCATATATGACAATGTACAAAAACGCATTGTTATAATTGTGGTTTTACATCATCTTATTCTTTTATTGATATTAGGAGAAGAAAAGAGAAAGAATGTAGATTTTTTTTATATTTACTCATACATTTACCATTCCCAGATATTTCATTGTCTCCTACAGATTTAAGATAATTTCTAATATCACTTTCTTTCAGCCTAGAAGATTTCATTTAGTTTTCTTGTCAGGTAAGTCTGCTGCCAAAAAATTCTTTTTTTTTTTTTTCCCCCAATCTGAGAATGTTCTTATTGACAGTTTTTTACATTCTCTCAGCACCCTGCCTTCTAGGGTTCAATGCTTCTGATGAGAAGTCAGCCATTCATCATGTAATTGTTCTCCTGTATGAGTCACTTTTCTCTAGCTGTTTTTAAGATTTTCTCTTTGTCTTTCAACAGTTTAAATATGATGTGTCTAGGTGTGGATCTCTTTGTGTTTATTTTACTTGGAGTCCTTTGAGCTTCTTAGATCTCTAAATGATTTTCACAAACTTAGGAAGTTTTTGGTCATTGTTTTATTTTGGGTGTGGTGCTCCTCACTTTGTTACATTCCTTTAATCTATTTTCAGACCACAGAAAGGATTTTCTCCAGCTTTATAGTTGCTTTCTGGGGATATGACTTGACCTCCTCATTCCATCATAATGGAAGTGAATCTTCTAATATTTCATTTTAATGTTTATTTTCTTTTCAACCTTTTGTTTTAAATGTCCATGCTGATCACACAGATGTGAAAGTGTTGTAAAATGTTAAAAATAAATACAAGCAGAAGATATTTTGATTAGTCTTTATAAAATGCTTCTACTCATTCTGGGTATACAACTTAATGGATTGTGTGTAAATCCGGTTTACAATATTAGGTTCTATCACAGGACCTATAAATGTGAGAGTAGGAGAAAAGGAAAAGAAATAGGGCCGGGGGCGGTGGCTCACATCTGTAATTCCAGCACTTAGGCAGGCCGACTCAGGTGGATAATTTGAGGTCAGGAGTTTGAGATCAGTCTGGCCAACATGGTGAAACCCCATCTCTACTAAAAATACAAAAAAAATTAGCTGGGCGTGGTGGTGCGTGCCTATAATCCCAGCTACTCATGAGGCTGAGGCAGGAGAATCGCTTGAGCCTGGGAGGCAGAGGTTGTGGTGAGCCAAGATTACACCACTGCACTCCAGTCTGGGCAACAGTGAGACCCTGTATCAAAAACAAACAAACAGAAACAGGAAGGAAGACAAGAAAGTGGTTTAAAGGTACAAGGAGAGGAAGAAATCTCACCAAACATAAGGGGTTACCAACCTGTGTGTAGTGGATAGTGAAAATGGCGTGGGATCTGCTACTGGCCTCATGAACATGGGTGGCTGCTGTGATTCTGTGTATATAAGGAAAAACTGTTAGGACGAGGATTGTTCACACATGGTGGATTCTTAAGGATCTATAGGGAATACAAGAAATGTTAGTGCTGAGGTTCACAGATGAGAATCATATTTAGTTCAGTTTCGTAAAGAGGAATAGTCCAAAGAGGGCAGAAGCAGCACACTAGGTGCTATCTGAGAATAAAACGGAGTGCAGCTTCATGCTAAACTACACTGAAACTTTTTTTTTTAAGCAATAGAAGCAAAAATTCGAGTGTAAAGAGAAATGAAGACTAGTGTTATCAATCTGGAAGAACATGCCCAAGATAGAGCCATTTTATTTTATTTTATTCTTGCACTTTATTTTATTTTATTCTTAGACCCATTTTAATAAGACAAGTGGATGTAGAGAGCTTGCTGAGAAGGTACCTCAAAGACAGAGAAGGTAAGTTTTGAATTAATATTCTGTGTTTAATCAAATTAATCAAATATTAATTCTACAGTGTCAGAAAGATCTTGGAAATGAGATCTCAAATCACATCAATATCATGCTTAAGCCAGGTAGAATTCATATCTCCCTTAGAAATCCATTACAGTGTTAACCTTCAAAGTCAGGAGAGGTTTTCCTTTATCTAAGAGTATCTCACTGTGTTCTGTTCTCAGAGGATCTGGAGAATTGAAGAAAAGGGCCAAAATCTAGAGGCTAGTCTCATGATTCAAGTTTAACACTGAAAAATCATGGAGCTCAGGGTATCCTGAAAACCAGAAGCAGTGTCTCCAGGAGAGTTCCATGAAGCTCAGGAGAATGTTAAACATAAATTTCTTCCTTTATGTTCAATTAACTTGGTCCTGCTATTAACAGGATAAATAGAAGGCTCTATAGACTTTTTTACCCCAGGGAAAAAGCCTTTTTTAGGGACATTTACTAGTAATATTCTAGGTATTTCATAGTAATTTACAACACAGCATGTTATTACAATTTACAATAGCTTTTAGGGGAATCTACAGTACCTGGTTATTCACAGCAGATTCAAAATAGTCTTTCGGGGGACTACCTTATAAGTATGCAAAACTAGAAAAAAATGGTTTTCTGAAACTTTTACACTATATTCGTCCTTATATCTATCAAACCTGAGGAGAGGACAATGCAGGTAAGAATCTTTTCTTCCAAATTTAGAAGCTCTAAACAAAGTAGAGTAACTTCCTTGGGCTTACTGCCTAATATTACTATGTCCAGAACAGATTCCAGCTTCATTACTAGTGAGAAGAGACTAAATCTTAGTCACCACCCCTTAACCTGGGAACACTACTGTTCTGGGAAGAGCCTCCTGGTTGTGAACACCTCTACACACAGAGACAATTTTAAGTGTCATTATACACTCCCCAAAGGGAAATGGGAACACAGGATAGGAATATGAGGATCAAAGAATGATAGAAACAAACAAACCTGTTACCTGTTTGCAATCCCCTCCTCCAAGAGTTGGATTACTTGCTTGTAATTGGTAACTACATGTTGAGATAAACCTATCGGATTTGTGAAACAGAAAAAAGAAATTAAATGAAATTTTTGGTAAAGTTTAACCTTTTCTTGTAAGTCTTTAACTTTATCATTCCTATTTCATATTATTTAATAGACAAAAATGAGGGAATCTGGCCAAATTCATTCAGATAATAAATTAAATCAAGAAATATTTATTGGAAACCTCTTGTCAGGTATATGATAGGCTCTAGGAATATAGGTCTCTGCTCTCACAGAGATTATGGTCTATAATTCATACAGACCATATGCTAACAACAACTATAATTCCTTACAATTCTGCTATATAGGTTATAAGAACTATTCTCATATATTACCTCATTTGGCCCTCACAAAGTCCCTGAGGTAGGCCAGTGTTGTTTTCCCCACAAGGTGGCAGACTCAGTTTGGCATACAAAATACACAGTACACTTGTCTCTGTCCTCCCACAGTTTACAATCATGGTAAGTTACACTACACAAGACAATATGGCCAAGTGCCACAGAAGTTGGAAAGATGATACACGAGGAGATCAGAGGCATTGTCAGGGCAGGCTCTATAGAAGAAGTGAGACTTAAATTTAGCCACTATAGAATGGGGAGGCTTTAGATAGGTGAAGAGGAGCCTACAGGTATGAAAGTAAATCTTCATGGCTGGTTACTAACCAAGTCCCAAAGGCCTTCCCAACTGTTCTAGAGAATCTCTGTATTAGAGATTCAAAAACAAAGTAACTTCATGGGCTTACTGCTAAATACAATTACACCGAAAATAACAAAGTAACATAAATGAAACCAACAAAAATAATAGTCAATAGAAAGCAATCCAAGCAAGACCCAGATACCGAGGCTACCAGGTCAATTTAAAAGTAACTCTGAAGGCTGGGTGCTGTGACTCATGCCTGTGATCCTAGCACTTTGGGAGGCTGAGGCGGGCAGACCTGAGGTCAGGGGTTTGAGACCAGCCTGGAGAACATGGAGAAACACTGTCTCTGCTAAAAATGCAAAATTAGCTGGGCGTTGTGGCACAGGCCTGTAATCCCAGCTACTTGGGAGGCTGAGGCAGGAGAATCCCTTGAACCTGGGAGGCGGAGGTTGTGGAGAGTGGAGATCGCGCCATTGCACTCTAGCGTGGGTAACAAGAGCGAAATTCTGTCTCAAAATAAAAAAAGTGTGGGGGTCGGGGGGCAGGCTCGGTGGCTCATGCCTGTAACCCCAGCACTTTGGGAGCCAGAGGCAGGTAGATCATGAGGTTAGGAGTTCCAAGACCAGCCTGGCCAAGATGGTGAAACCCTACCTCTACCAAAAAAACAAAAAAATTAGCTGGATGTGGTGGCAGGAGCCTATAGTCCAAGCTACTCAGGAGCCTGGGGCAGGAGAATCACTTGGACCCAGGAGGCAGAGGCTGCAGTGAGCCGAGATTTCACCATTGCACTCCAGTCTGGACAATAAGAGCAAAACTTCGTTTCCAAAAAAAAAGTAACTCTGCTTACTATTTTCAAGGAGCTGAAAGAAGATTGTAAACTTGGAAACTATAATGAAATAATAAAATGGATATCTGAGAAATAATACTGTAAGTGAAAATAAAAACTCAATATAAAGTTTAATAGCAAGTTAGACATAGCTGAAGAAAGAATGAGTGAGCAAGAAGACAGATCAGAAACATACTCAAAATTTAGCACAGAGGGACAAAAGATTAAAAATATGGAGGCAGCCGGGTGCAGTGGCTCACGTCTGTAATCCCAATACTTTGGGAGGCTGAGGCGGGCAGATCACAAGGTCAGGAGTTCAAGACCAGCCTGACCAACATGGTGAAACCCCATCTCTAATGAAAATACAAAAATCAGCTGGGGGTGGTGGCACGTGACTGTAATCCCAGCTACTTGGGAGACTGAGGTAGGTGAATCACTTGAACCCGGGAGGTGGAGGTTGCATTGAGACGAGATTGCGCCATTGCACTCCAACCTAGGTGACAGAGCAAGACTCCATCTCAAAAAAAAAAAAAATTGGAGGCTAGGTGTGGTAGCACACACCTATAATCTCAGCTACTTGAGAGGCTGAGGCAGCAGGGTCCCTCGAGCCCAGGAGTCCAAAACCAGTCTGGGCAACATTAGCAAGACTCCATGTCTAATTAATTAATTAATTAATTAAATATAGAAGAAACGGTAAGACTCACAGAGTATATAGAGAATAGGCCTAACATACTTGTAATTAGAGTCCCAAAAGAAGAATGGGGTAGAAGGAATATTATAAGCGATAATGGTAGTGGAGGGAAGGTAGGGGGGAAAAGGAAAGGTAATGGTTAAGAACTTTCCAAAACTGATACAAAGATACAAAAGCACAGATTCAAAAACTCCAGCATGATTTTTTAAAATCCCGCATCTAACCCTAAGTAGATCATAATAAACTGTTCAAAGACTAAAGGAAAAATATCGAAAAAATTAGACTAAGAGAAGACTTCTCAGCAAAAACAGTGGAAAACAGAAGACAATGGTATAATGTTTAACGACTAAAAGAAAATAACCATTAATTAAAAATTCTATACTCAGTGAACTTTACCTTCAAGAAAAAGAAAAGCAGTCCAGGCATTGTGGCTCATGCCTGTAATCCCAGCACTTTGGGAGGCCGAGGCTGGTGGATTACTTTAGGTCAGGAGTTCAAGATCAGCCTGGCCAACATGGTGAAACCCTGTCTCTACTAAAAGTACAAAAATTAGCCGGGCGTGGTAGCAGGTGCCTGTAATCCCAGCTACTCGGGAAGCTGATGCAGCAGAATTGCTTGAACCCAGGAGGTGGAGGTTGCAGTGAGCCGAGATCGCACCACTGCACTCCAACCTGGGTGACAGAGCAAGACTCCATCTCAAACAAACAAACAAACAAGCCAAAATAGAACCTGTCAATAGCAGATCTACACTAGAGGGAAAATGAGATTATTCTTGAAGTAGAAGGAACTCGGAGATAAAAGGTAGGATATTCTTTAAAAATTAAGAGCCATAAAAATGGCATTTAAGAAAGGACAAACTGAGTTCAAGTCTTATAAGGTTTATTGTCTGGGAAGAAGCAGAACAATCAGTAAACATTAGACTTTGATAAGTCAGTGGTCTATGTTGTAATCTCTGGAGTGACCGCCAAAATAGTAAGACAATGTGTAAATAATAAGCTAGTGGAGAAGAAATATGGAGTGATTTTTTAAAGCTATCAAACCAAAAGACAAAGTAAAGAAAAAGGAACATAAAACAGGAAAGGTAAAGAGAAAACACAAAATAACAGATTTAAACCCAAATAAAATTAGTGACTACATTAAATATAAGCAGACCACAATATCAAATTAAAAGACCAAAATTGTGATGAAACAAAGGTAAAACAAAGCAAAAGGAAAAATTTTTAAAATAAAAAACACATCTGAAATATATAAAGAAAACTGAAAGTAAAAATAGAAAAGAAGATAAAAATACAGACACTAACCCAAAGAAAGCTAGCTTAGTTAATGCCTGACAAAGTAGACTTTAAAGCAAAAGCATTACTAGAGATAAAAAACCTTCACAATGAAAAAAGGGTTCAATGAACCAGGAAGTTTTAACAATTCTAATTTTGTATGCATGTAATAATAAAGCCTCAAAATACATAAAACAAAAATTGGCAGAATTAAAAGGAGAAAAAGGCATCCATACTCAGCAGGAAAGTTTAACTTGCCTTTCTTAGTATCTGTTAAAACAAGTGGAAAAACAGAATCAATAGGGGCACAGAAGATTTGAACAAGTATCAAACCTGATAAATAGTAATATATAAACACCATGCCCAACAATTGTGTAATATACACGCTCTTCAAGCACACATGGAAAATTTACAAAAACTGGCCAATGTGCTAGGCTACAAATCAAACCGTGCTATATATATTTCAAATTTTTTCATTATTATATTCCTATTATTATATCGGTTATGATGATCTGTGATCAGTAATCTTTGATGTTACTATTATAATTATGTTGGTACACCAAGAACCTTGCCCGTATAGAAAAGCGAACTTAATTGATAAATGTATATGTTCTGATTGCTCCACCAACCAACCTTTCCCCTACCTTTCTCGCTCTACTCAGGCCTCCCTATTCCCTGAGACACAACAATATTGAAATTAGGCCAATTAATAACCCTACAATGGCCTTTAAGCGTCCAAGTGAAAGAAAGAGTCTCTCATTTTAAATCAAAAGCTAGAAACGCTAAAGTTTAGCAAGGAAGGCACGTTGAAAGCCAAGAAAGGCTGAAAGCTAGGCCTCTTGTGCCCAACAGTTGGTCAGGCTGTGAATGCAAAGGAAAAGTTCTTGAAGGAAATTAAAAGTGCTACTCCTTGAATACATGAATGATAAGAAAACAAAACAGTCTTCTTGATGATATGAAGAAAGTTTTTACAGTATGGTTAGAAGATCAAACCATCACAACATTCTCCTAAGCCAGAGACTAATCCAGAGCAAAGCCCTGATTCCCTTCAATGCTATAAAGGCTGAGAGAAGTGAGGAAGCTGCAGAAGAAAAGTTGGAGCTGGCAGAGGTTGGTTCAAGAGGTTTAAGGAAATAAGCTTCTCAGTAACATGAAAGTGCAAAGTGAAGCAAGTGCTGACGGAGAAGCTGTAACGAGTTATCCAAAAGATACAGCTAAAGCTAAGATAACGAAGGTAGCTACCCTAAACAACAGAATTTCAATGTAGACAAATCAGGCTTCTACTGGAAAAAGGTGTCATCTAGGATTTTCAGAGCTAGAAAGAAGCGGCCAACGTCTGGTTTCAAAGCTTCAAAGGACATGCTGATTCTCCTGTTAGGGGCTAATGTAGCTGGTGATTTTATTTTATTATTATTATTATTATTTGAGATGGAGTTTCACTCTTGTTGACCAGGCTGGAGTGCAGTGGCACAATCTCAGCTCACTGCAACCTCTGCCTCCCGGGTTCAAGTGATTCTCCTGCCTTAGCCTCCCAAGTAGCTGGAATTACAGGTGCACACCACCATGTCTGGCTAATTT